CCCTTCTTCTGCTCTTCTGCTCCCCTCTTCCCCAGCAATGATAGCGTATTATATGTCTCGATGGGGATCGTCGGAGCAATATCGATTGACACGATTTTTACCGCCTGATACGGTTCGCAGCGGAAGCTGATCCAAAGGGCGCAGATCGGAAGAGGGAATACGGACAGATATAGCGCCCTTAGCGATGATAATGGAGGCTTATTTTTGCGGTTTGGCAAACAAAGGGCGGCGGGGGCGGCGAGAGGGGCGAAGATAAATGATCGTTCCGGAAATCGGACGGCTGGCAGTTTTTCTAGAGTGGAACAAACGGCTCAACCGCTCAACACTCGGAACGTGAAATGGAAAATCATCGAAGATAATAATTTGACAGTGGCGTGATCGGGATTTCAATTTGTGATTTCGCTCATTAGTTGAGAGTTCAGATTGCAGTGATACTATTTTGACGGACATATTCGGCGATTGTCACGACATCTTGTTGCCTATTAATTTCGGGAATGACATTGTTTATATAAACTTTCCAGCAGTAGGCGAGAAGTTTTGGATCAATGTCAAAATCAAAGCTGCAAGCTAGAATATGTCAATCGACGGATATTTCCAGGAAAAATAGTATTACGAGTTGTATTCGTATGACTATTTCATGATTGAGACAATAAACAAGCTCGTCTCTCCTCCTTCCAACATAATTGACGTTTTCAACGTCCGAAATTTTATCGATGAAAAACGAGGTTGGTTGGTCACGTGTAGGTCAATTCTGCTTCCGTATTAACAGGGCAAGTCCGATACAATTTATAAACAAAAAAATATCGCTGTAATACAGAAGAAACCGTGAAAATGGTCGATTCTGATCTCCAGAACAAAAGTGGAATAGTCACTTATAATCTCCTAAGTTCTTAAATTATTACTTAAAATTTTCCGAGTATTTTTTGTTTGTTTGTAAATTTATATTGGTCGCTTTAAAATGGAAGTTTTCATGTGCCTATATTAGTGATGATATTGTGCAATGTGTCTCAAAGGGCCCCTGGTCAGAATGGAAGTTTTCTATTGTTTTTTTTTCTGAAACCAAAAACATTTTTTGGACTTTTAAAAGATAATCAAGCACAGCACTTTTTCCTGGTTCACTGCGACCTCCTCAGATATACCTACATACTGGCCACGTTTATACCGTGTCTTGTTTGGCTAATGTCGACTATATTTCAACTAAATACATACATGTAAATACACATGGTCAGTGCAGTATAAACTGTAAAGCTTGACTACTAAATGATACTCGAGACCATCTCCACGACATTTTAATATGATCAAACCATCAAATCAATGGGTACATGTTTCAGGTATGTATATGTCCTTCCTCAGCCTAATCAAAATTTTCTGCATGAATTGTGCCCGAGAATGAATGTGAATAGGTGCAAGAAATGGATTATTAAAAATGAACACAGTGGTGGAATCATACCACCAGACAGTATTGAAGGTGCGTGAAAACGACACTTCATCGTCCGATAGATAAAAAATAGAGACTAGTGCCAATTTTTTTTCGTTTGTCGATACAATAGACCCTCAATTACTTGAAATAAAGGGTGTTCGAATTCCAAAATATCGGCTGATGTTGAATTTCATCTTTAACGCATAATTTTTATTGAAAAGCAAACATAATCGGCCACTAATCCACAAAAATTCAGCGCTCTATTAATCGTACATTGCTTTGATTTTTTCTTCAACCCAGGACGGTCATACCACGGCCGCCTCCACCACTGAAAACCTGCCAGACATCCCGATCAATTTTTAATGATGATACGGCAGTACAATAACATGAGAGATATTAATCTATTAATCGGACAATGAAATTTGTTGTCAGCTCTCTGTCTATAGGGCCGTCCGTGTACCAGACTTTTCCTATTTCACAGGTGGCATTTCCTGCTGGAGATTGTCATCTTGAAGTGTGTTAAAAACATACTAAGATTGAACTAGGAAATAGCCACAATGCTCAAAGTGGCTAATTCCACGCAGAACATTAAATTACATCCTCCAGAATTTTATGCATCGACTCGTATAAACGAATACTGATAGAAGTGATTCTTTCCTGAATGCCTATTGATTTCGATTTAGCCAGGCCACGCTAGACACCTACTGACCGGTTTCGAGCTCTTTGACTCTCATCAGTGCAGGGCAGTCTCCAGCCAGCAGTCCTGAGACCGCCGACTAAGCTTAGCCTAGCCAAACAAAAATCAAATCGGCATTATATTCCCTCAGAGGCGCCCTCTATAGACAATATGAAAGCAACGCCATCTGAGTAGAAAACTGAAAAGAAAACTGAAATTCCCATACGGGAGTGGCTGGTTGCCCGACTGGCGTATTTTCAACTACGAAATAGCCACAATGGAATGAAATGTTGGATAAATACAAAAAGCTCAGAGTCATTTCCACACAACGTTCATAAAATGAACAACAATGGTAGATTTCGGGAGAAAAACAACTACTTTCCTGGCTAATGCCACGCACGCAGAGCATCGAATTACCTACATCTTCCCGAATTCTATGCATCTTCTCGTATATACGAATACTGATACAAGTGATGTGACATGTGATTTGCTTTTTGCACATGATTTGAGCCTATAGACCATAGACCTGGCGTATGAACCTTGCTTTTTACTTTTGCTGCGCTTTTAAGATAGGTATAAAAAAAATTCAAATTCTATTCGTGCCTCATATAAGTGAAACAACATATTGTATCTTGTTTCTTCGATACATTACATGATCCATTGAATACATAATCCGTTTCCGTTTGTTCATTGAATATTGTATACTAATATTCGATTCACATTAGGAATTGAAGCGGTCGTTAAAACTACCGCAATAATTTATAATTCATAACATCCATTATGAACGCCGTATTGGTCTTCACTTATAATGATATAGTACGTCCTTTCGAACGTATTAGAGCGATATTACGTTTTATATTTGCCGTATAATTTATGATATACTTTTAATAGGAAGAATATTATAGGTATAGGTGCTTTCCAATACATGAACCCGTTAAATAAATGGGGTTAGATGTATAATATAGGAGTATGTAGAAAAGTTGTTTGAGGCAGTTTTTCTAGATTGAAGGCAATTTATTCGACTGAAATAATGTTGGCTTGACATATTCATCAGAATGGGGTTATAGTAAACTGCGTCATCAATTGTTCGGTGTTTTTTTTCAATGGTGATTGCACAGGTTCTTGTATATTTTGAGCCTCCTCATCCAACTTTTATCAGGATGTGATATATTATTATGTATCTCACATTTTTTTCCGTAAATTTCTCATAGGTGCGTGAACAGAAAATGAGTTGAACATTTCGGGAATAAATTGTTGTTTTTTTTTTCTAGTGCGCAAAATGCAACTTTGGTGATCGAGAACTGATTTTTTCAACGAGGCCCAGTCGAATTAAAAAAATAGTCGAGATGACCAAGGTATTTTGCGCACGAGTGGCAAACAACATTTCACCTACAAACGTCAAAGAATATAGTTCTATATTAGTAATATGCTCAGCCTAGTATGAAAAATAGTGTTCAACTGGCTTAAAAGGTCTTAATTATTGTTAAACATTTAGAAATAAATGATTTCTCGGATGTTTGCTCGATTCAGGACCATAAAGTTGAGATACAAAAATCTCATACATGGTGACATTTTTGAAACCTCCCACCCTCAAATCTCCCTTCCAGTAAAGAATATCAAAAATCGAAAAAGCAGGTCAATTTTATTTTCAAGTGGGACATTTAAAATTATGAGTTTTAGCCCTCTTGGTTCAACCCGTTCTAGGAACGCACGATGTTCTTTGAACATTATAGGGATTTATTCAACAGAAAACAACTACTTTCCTGGCTATATGCCACGACGAATATTGAATTACATCTACTGAACACACGATAAGAATTTGAAAACAAAATCTTCTGAAGTAGATAATTTCCATTCTCCTTCATATAAAGATATGCATATAATATAATTCTGAATATTCAACAGAAAACAACTACTTTCCTGGCTATTTGCCACAGCGAACATTGAATTATATCTATTGAATATCCAAATAAAAGAGAGCATGAAAAATCAAAATCCAACTTCCAATTTAGAGGCAATAAAAAAATTCGATAGAATCAAAAAATTAAAAAACCAATGAGAATTAATTTTGTGCCAATACTTCCGTAGGGGTAGTGATATCTCAAGGAGGGATACTGTCTCCAGGGCGGTTACTGTCCTCAATGTTCTAATAGTACTCCCTATCATCTACGTGCATCTGATAACATCTACTTAGTGCCGCCATGTCACGCCATTATCAAATGCGAAAGTATATTAATTAATGGCTTCCTGTCTTTGAAATTAGTTTAACAGTTTCAGATTATCGATATTTTATTTGGGAGAGGTTGAATAATTATTTGAGGTGCTTCAACCCCGGAAAAGGCAACGTTTTTTCTATGAATCAAAAATGTATGTCAGCTTCTCAAATTTGTGAATAGCTATTATCTTCGAATGTCATTGGTCCTTTTCATTGCGTCATATTTGAATGGTGTCAATAATTCAATAATGTATATAGTTGTATATAGGAAACCGTTGGGTTTTTTCAATGGACTTAAACGTGATGATTAAAATTATTGCATCGTTCTCGGTTCCGGTTGGCAAGTTCTAGTATATATTTTTTTGTCGTTACTACTGACACTAATTATGGTTATTAGACGCTTCGTGATTTCTTGGTTGATGTTTTCGAGTAATTTCCTTGTTTCGTGATTATTTAAACAATACCGCTTTTACACCGTGTGAAATTATCAAGTGTAAATTGCCTGTTCGTGAATATATACTTACCTATGTATTTTTATCTGGAGTTGTATGGTATTGCGATTACTCAATTCCTCATATATTTTGTAGATACTACATAATCTAACGTTGTTAATTTTGTTATGCCTTATGAGGACGAATGAGGTTTGATATAACCCACTTATCTAATTATTTATTTGTTTTTTGTTTCAGGACAGTGACGGCGAAAAAAGTGATCAAGACTTAGTTGTTGACGTTGCCAATGAGGTAGGTGATATTGTCTTTTTTTGAATTATAATCGATTTTTCCGTCGACTTCGTGTTAACAAGTTTAAGATTAATGTACTTGGTTATTCACCATAAATGTCCCCAACTTCTAGCTCAGCTATATTTGAACCGATCCCAGAATTTGAAGAATCATTTGAAATGATTTTCGATACAATTTTTTCCGCTACATCAGAAAAAACAGTGTGCTCGGGACAAACGATCTACAGGGTACTAGTAGATGAAACACCCTGTATTTGATTCCATTTTTAGATTCTCCCTGAATAGCTGATTTCATCAATGTATCACACTTGGAGTATAGCGGGAATGATTACAGCGATATAGGGTGTTCAAAATCAAGATTTTTCAACCTTCAACTATTCATTATTGGTCAACACGGCTTTCATGTCGCTATCTTAACTTTTCATTCACTATTTACTGATATTGAATAATTAAAACAAATACAACCACCCTGTATCGTTCCAAACATAATTATGTGAATCGTTTTGACCAATATTGAATAGTTTCGAGGCAAAAAAAATCCTAAAGTTGAAAAATCTCGATTTTGAACACCCTATATCTCTGTAATCATTCTCGCTAGACCCCAAGTATGATGTTTTGATCAAATAAGCTCTTCAGGGAGAATCAAAAAATGTAATGAAATACAGGGTGTCCCATTTGAATAAATCAACTAGTACCTAGAAGATCGTTTGTTCCAAGCACCCTGTATTTTCTGATGTAGCGGATAAAATTTTTCTGAAATATCATTTCAGATGATTTTTCAAATTTTGAATTCGGTTCTAAAATAAGTGAGCTAGAGGGAGAAGGACAATTATTGTGAACCACCCTGTACACGAAATTGATCGTTAATGACCCCATCAACGATCAACTTCTCTATTAATGAACGATTGTAGTATAGACAACCAAACATACAGCGCTTCGTTCCACTGTTTTGGTTAGAACTCACAGAATCTGCATTTAAATAAAAATATGGATTTTCCGCCGACCTCGTATTAATGAGTATGTTGAATGTTTATGAAATTGATTGTTAATGACCCATATTAATGATATTAATGTATGATTGTAGTATAGGCAACCAATCATACATCGCGTCCATTCACTGTTGCCATTATAATTTACGGAATCTGCATTCAAATCGAAAATATGGATTTCATCGAATACTTCACATTATTGGGTCGGCCTTTTAGAGTTTCTGAACCGATTTTAAGCCCTGTTTCCTAACAAGAAGAATTTATTTTCCATGTTTATTATTTCGACAAATGTCAAATGTCACTAATGTCAGTGACAAGATGACCTTCAGGGCTACAGGGTGATTGTCAGTAGTTGTTTAGATTTCGTCATTGCAGGAGAAATATAGTCGATCTCTCTCTCGATATCTCGATCATTAATCACCCTCAATAATACACTAGTTAGATAAATAAATATTCGTCGATTAAATTTTTCTGAAAAATCATTTCAGATGATTCTTCAAATTTTGAATTCGGTTCTAAAATAAGTGAGCTAGAGGAAAAAGGACAATTATTGTGAACCACCCTGTACACGAAATTGATCGTTAATGCCCCATCAACGATCAACTTCTCTATTAATGAACGATTGTAGTATAGACAACCAAACATACAGCACTTCGTTCCACTGTTTGGTTAGAACTCACAGAAAATATGGATTTTCCGCCGACCTCGTATTAATGAGTATGTTGAATGTTTATGAAATTGATTGTTAATGACCCATATCAATGATATTAATGCATGATTGTAGTATAGGCAACCAAACATACATCGCGTCCATTCACTGTTGCCATTATAATTTACGGAATCTGCATTCAAATCGAAAATATGGATTTCATCGAATACTTCACATTATTGGGTCGGCCTTTTAGAGTTTCTGAACCGATTTTAAGCCCTGTTTCCTAACAAGAAGAATTTATTTTCCATGTTTATTATTTCGACAAATGTCAAATGTCACTAATGTCAGTGACAAGATGACCTTCAGGGCTACAGGGTGATTGTCAGTAGTTGTTTAGATTTCGTCATTGCAGGAGAAATATAGTCGATCTCTCTCTCGATATCTCGATCATTAATCACCCTCAATAATACACTAGTTAGATGATAGTATATTATGTAACAAGTGTTATAAACGTCCTTTTAGTAACGAGTATTTTAATGAACGAGTTTCTAGAAGAGTTTATAAAAGCGTTACATACTATGATTTTTCTACGAACTCCGAAAATAACATCAGCATATACCTGCTATTGCTGCTAACCTACAAAATAATCCCAAAGGAATGGGAATTGAGAACATAATACATGCAACTGCATGCAACCAGTGAGACACGTATAAGTGATATTGGTTGTAGATGTTTCCAGTCCATTGCTTGCTAACCTTTGTTTCACGTTTATTGTCATGCTTAGCGCAGAATAGATAAATTGTTCTCAAAGATGGATGCTTCATTTTTACACTTCTTGGAGATATGCAAGTACCAGAACATTCTCTTCGATTTCACTTTCGTCTACATCTCGCATATATTTTCAATGGAGAATTCTGATACAAACGAATATTGTTTGAATAATTCTGATACAAAATTCGAAAATTACAGTTGACAGTTAATACGATTGACAGGCCAGACATGTCTCAAATTACTGAAGCTGTGTTTAATGAACTGCGTTGCCATGGTAATGTGTTTAAGAAATCGTGTTGCCATGGTAACGTCTTTAATATTTTGAATAAATCACAGATCGACAATCCGTGATTAATCGATCATTTAGCGTGGTACATATCCGTACGCTAAATGCCATTTTAGTTATGTGAGTAGAAAAATGCCATTTTAGTTATGTGAGTAGAAAAATAAATATTCGTCGAATTCGATGAATACGTAAACCACACTATTGTTGATGGTTTTTCCAATTTCTCCACTCGTAGACTCTCCAAATCGAGACACTCCACAGATTAGATAATTACCTGACAACGCAAGATTGAGAAATATTTACATAAACGCCATTAAGATTCGTTCACAATTTTTGTTGTCATGGTTTCAAATGTTAGGTTCAGATTCTGTAAATTATAGTCACAACAGTGAATAAACGCCTCGGGGTATTTTTGGTTCCCTATACCACCATCGTTTGTTAATAGACAAATTGATCCTTAATAGGAGTCGTACATTTATCAAACTTGTTGATACGAAGTCGACGAAAAAATTCTTACGTTTTGAAGAGGATATCAGCATGTTTCCTTTGGAATTGAATGTTGTTTGTTCATAATCATTATTGCCAAACTCACAAACACTTCAACCTCATATACAGAGATTATGGGTGTATAATCTCTGTCATATAGAAGAAACATACCAACTATTCAAAATGAATAAAATGATTATGAAGTGGATGTGAATAAATTTGTTGGAAGTTATTTTTCAGTCAATGGTGACAAGTTTGTAAATCAAAAAATACCTGGAGCCATCAATAATCTCACTATAAAGTCAAGCTCATGGCGGAAAAATGAAACTTTTTAGTCAAATTGCTGTGCAATACTGTAATCAATAAAATAAGTTCGAATATAATGAATATTTTATTATAGTTTATCATCCAGATGAGTTACATTTTTTATTATTCATGATCAATACATTTCGTAACAAAGTAAACTGCTATACTTAAGAAAAATTGTAAAGTATTGAGCCTAAATTTCAGTACGATAGGAAAATAGAAACGCAATTTGAGGACAATGTTGGTCATTCAATAAAATACATTATAATAATAATGACTTCTCGGAACAATATTTCATCATTGCAAGAAAAATATAGTCGACGGAAAAATTTTGTAACCAACTCATATATCAATCGGGCGATTAATGATCTCAAACATTAATTATTTAAAAATAAATTCCTTTTGTGTTAGATAACAGACATTTCTACTTCGAAAGAGATAAAAGACGACCAATCAGATGTAAATAAATAATACGTATTTTACGGTACTTCAATTGAGTACTAGTATCATCAGTATCTACTTCTTGAACCCATAATTACTTGCTTTATCTGAAACCACTTGACTGATCATTGAACCTCTTTGAGTGTGTTGATGATTTTCAAGTAGCAAATGAAAATGAGTTGAGCAGATGATATTCTCCATTTTGAGCATTTTAATGAATTGAATATATGTACTTCATAGAAAGGGTGTTTCATATTCTAATCAATACAAATCGACAACAGGCGATAGTACTCGCAACAGGGTTTGAAGTTTCTATCTACCATTGTTAAAATCAATAAAAACTTGAGAGCAGTAGAAAAAAAATTGAGCACAATGATTTTTACCATAAATGTCAATCCGACAACTCTCTGGAATAACTATGGTGAATCTAGTTACGCCAAAATGTACATTTCTTTGTTACAAACAAACGAAAATCAGCCAAGGTGCTATAGAGCTGCTACACAAAATTGCTCCTGTTTTACTGATTTCGATAAATCAATGAAGAACATTGTCTTCAATTTCATTTCCTTATTTGATAGCACAATGACTTCATTGTGTTATTATTTCACAATAAATGTCATCTCCCATGAAATGTCCAATTTAAAACAATGACAGCTCTGTCTAATAGAGCATTACTTAAGAGAAAATCAGATAGCTATACAAGCCGAAAAATCTAAAATGTCTGTCATCTACAGCCCTAGAAAAAGTATAGTGTATTACTCGCATGGAATGCATATTTGACTATCATTCCGTGCTCGTTAAACAATATACTTTTGTCAAGCTACTTATCTAGAAAACAAGGCTCCGAAACATGCAAGTTCGCATGATTTTTTTTCCATTTTTACAAATTCTATCGCCTATTGAATTATCCCTATTACAATCTGAAACCCTGTATACTGCAGAATTCAATCGATAAAAGTTCAATTATATAATTCCTGTAAACAACATATTACTTAGGAATTGCTCATTATTTGGCGGAATAATTTTTGTTGTATCATTCCAGGTTTCACCGGAAACGACCTAAACTTTTGATTTTTGTTCGGTTAGGGATTATTATGACGAATTCAACGATACCGGGTTTAATAGGGTTATTTCAAACGATTAAGAAGATACCGCGTTCTAAATTTCCCTATGCTCAATAAGTGTGAAGTTTCGATATTGCGAAGTCACACCACCGACTTATAGGCTAATCTAGGCCGCGAATTCTATAAGGAAAAAGATGAGCGAGTCAGGAGAACGAACTGGTAAAACTGACTCATGTGCATTTAGGATATAGCATGTTAGTGTTATATACACTCATGAATCCGAGGAACATAGGCGTATCGAAGGAAAAAGGTTGGGAGGGGTCTACTATGGAAGGTTGATAAACCATACATGAAGTAGTGAGAAACGAATGAAATATGCCGTATTGGCAAATACTCAGATTTGAGAACTTTATTTCTAAAAACGGCAAGTTTGCATGTCCTGGATATGAAAGCTATCTGGCGTCAAATGGTCTGAACATAATGATTATCCTACCTGAATGGCTAAGGTCCAATGGTTACCTAATAGCCTCAAACCATTAATTTCTCCTAGAATCATTATTGAATGAGTAAACTTTTAATCAAAAATCGTCTAAAATAGATGGTTTGGCACCTCACGCATTAACTCAAATTCTTCACAGATGAATGAATATACAAAACATACATGATTCCATTTGATTTAAATACTTGCTCAACTGATGAAAGCAAATTGAAATAATAAATTATTCATTACCCACAAACTCACCTTCGAAAAGAAACATCATCAGTATCATGAATCGTAGAATTCCTTCATCAAAGAACAAAGCACTTCATATTCTTCATTCAATTATTATGCCGACCCCTGATAACATAAACAAAACACTTAAGGCAACGCCATCCACCTTGCCGCCGCCTATGAACAAAATGGACGTTAGGTTGATTTCGATACCACGTCAAAGTCATGAACGACAGCTTGGTGGGGGTTCCTGCGTATTGAGCAGAATCGTTTTCAGGCGAGCAACTGACCCTACATTTTCGGGTTACTGCGATATGACTAATATATAGAAATTTCGAACGCAAATATTTTCATTTGAATTAACCCTATCGAATCCGATATATTTGAATTCGTCATGATAACCCCTAACCGATTATGGAATAATATACAGGATGTCCCATATGAAAATCAAAAGTTGTGGTCGTTTCCGGTGAAACCAGAAGTGATAGAACAAAAATTGTTTTGTCAATTAATGAGCAATTTGGTATACTTGCTACCCACCAATCCGATCTCGAATGATTCAGAAGATCCAGCACTGACCATTTTTTGTGCACTTCTCTGTATAATTTCCTTTTTTGTTTATTTCAGGAAGTGTCGTCTCCTCACACCAATGGCGAACATGTAGCTTTAGGTAACCCCAGTGAAATTAGGGAGAATGGTAGTACAAGTAGTGAGAAGATAAAAGTAGAACGGCCTCCCAGTAGAAGTGGATCTTCTTCATCTAGGAGTACACCGTCTCTAAAAAGCAAAGATGTAAGTTCGGCATCTCAATATTCAATTATTGAATGGGTAGCTTGTTTCACACTTTGCCATGAATAAGGAGTAGGGCTGCGTGATATTAGATTTCACATATCGATTATCAATAAGTCAAAACATAAGTTCGATATATCGGTAAATATCGATATATCGATAGGTATCGATATTTATCGACATGTCGATAGTTATCCACATATCGATATTTTTGGAATAATATATCAATATATCCATTTTTATCGATATATCGATATTTTTCAAGAATAACACTGCTAAATTCAATAGAAATCAATAATTATGTCATCAATGAAATCGAGATTCAAAGAGAACAAAACCAAAAATACAATGAGTAATATGAAGAATAAAAAAAGGAGGTTATATGATTTTTTTTAATGGGCGTGTACACCTTAATAGAACTTTTAACTCAAACCATGTTTATAATGATCCTTTTATACATTAATAATGATAGACGACATAATTCGATCGAAAAATTAACTGGAATGTTTTAATTTTGGACATAAATAATAGTACCTTCTGAAAACGCACCCTCTGATGACGTAGAAACCTCTACTCGTCATAGTTAAAAGAAAATACTAAACGCCCGACGGAGACTGAGGCAATTGATATATTAATTATTTCAACTGTGATCTCGCGCTAATTCACTCTGTCAGAAATCATGTATCATTCATCTCTGTCTGGAAAAGTCTTGTTTCAGTATTAGGGTTTTGACGTCACATCATCGCCGCGTTCTCAGAGGTCCGAAAATTCGAGGATTTCAATAATTTTTTATAAAACGTAGGGAGCTCACAGCAAGAAACGGTTTGCGGTGGTGAGCTAGTTTGGGTGAGTTCAATCGAATTATGAAATAAAAATATTTTGTGATATAAGCCCATTGCAATAATCGTAGTCAACTCTGATTTTTCGATTGATTTTCGATCATTTTGCTAATTCAACCAGGCCTCTGTCTCTCATAGTACCAATAAGGTTAGAGTCAAATGATTCGAGGCACACTGTTTGATGTGTTGATAAAATTATACTTAATTAGAATTCACTTGAAATTATATCTATGGTTTTATAGAATTCATTAGAAAGTTCACTTCTTGCAGACTATGTATGTCAATTGATCCATTAGATGTCGAACAAATATGATAAATTCATCACATAATATTGATAATTATACTTTAATTTACTTAATGACTGTATTTGTCACCCATTGGCCATTAGTACTGTTCTCATTCCTATCTTGGCTTCTTTGTTATTTGCCAATATAATCCATTAATTTGTCCATCATTGCCTATCCATTAATAATAATGGTTCATGATAATCAATTTATAAAAATAACATGTATGATGTATTGAATTCAAGAAGTATATAATGTCGTAAATTACGACACTCCCTTTTTCTATATCATAAACGGATTGAGATTCAGATAAGAAAAGAAACGAAACCTAGTTTGAATTAAATACTGAATGATACACGAAGTCATCTCCACGACATATAATGTGATTAACACATCAGAATTGGTTGGTACATGTTTCGGACATATATATGTCCATCATCAGCCTTATCAGATGGCACGATAATACACTACACTGAGTTTTAATCTTCTCCTGAAGATGCTAACATAGTTAGCGAAACACGGTCGTGTCGAGGTGAAAAAAATCGGTTTGGTTAGTGGTAAAACAGTGTGTAGTGGATCTACAGAGCGTTAAAGTTTCAAGATTTTTTTCTAGCATTTTTCATAAAATGTCAAGGTACGTTAGGTTTCTTATCCTTCAGGTAATGTTTGTAATTTAGATCAGGAACTTAATATGTTGCGTCTTTTGTTTTCATTGAGATATAAAGTTTTTCTGAAATATTCATACCGAGTCTTGGAACAACCTGTATGATAGAAAAAGTTAATCATTGAAAATATATAGAATATTGAAAGTGGAAAGTAATTTTCAATATTGCAGAAATACGTGGAAAAAATTATTCTTCTTCAGTTTGAGGTCACAATATTCCCAGATACTCAATTTTCTATTTCTAATGTTGGTCCTGTTAACATAGTAAACAACAATCTTTTTTGTATAAAGTAGAAACATTATCAACAAAGATATTATCAGTTGTGAACATCATCTATACTTGAGTGGAAGTAGTAAGAATAAAAAACTTATTCGAGATTGACAATATAATCTGACAGTTTTATCAATAAAAGATAAGGAATTATCATGAGAAAATTGTGGATCTAAATTGCATCATCGAATCTGAGACCAATCAGCATACTAATGGGATTTAAATAAGTAGAAATCACCAAAGTTGGAACTCAGAATCTAATAACAATGTTTCCTCTTTTATTACATTCGGCTACGCCTCGTTAAAAAAACAGATCTCGATCACCGAAGTAGCATTTCGCGCTCTAGATATAAAAATAACTATTCTTTCCTGTATATTTTTTATTATCACCAGGAATTAATTGATTAAAAGTTTTGTATACTGAATAAAGCTTCAAATTCAGGCAAGGGGGATGAATTATTCGAATTTTTTGTTGGTCCTAAATGAACCTTGGTAGACATATACCACCATTTCTCTGGGTTTTTCTTGCGACATTGACATTTTTGAATATTTTCTCCATGTTACATGCACTAACCTTGACAAGTATACATAACAAAAATCATTGAAAATCAAAACTTGAAGGGTCGACAGAAAAATTTAAAAAAATATGGAATTTGAAGGTATTTGAGTGATGATTCTATTAGAAAAATTTCAAAAAATCAGGCTACTTGTCCTAATTCCTTCCGTATTTTCCACAGGAAAAACCCCTGACGCCCGGCTCGAAACCCCGCTCGACGACGCCGAACCTGGGCGGTCCCGCGCCGGCGCCCAAGGCCGTCCACCCCGGCCAGTACCCGCCCTACGCGATGCCCGGGGCAGGGGGAGGGGGCGGACGGGGGCCGCCCGAGCACGCGAGCCCCTACAACAACGCGGCGCCCTCGCCGTACGGCCGGCCGCCCTTGATGGCCTACGACGGGCATCCGCACACGAGGGCGCCGGGCATCGCGACGAACGGGATGGGGGCGATACCGGGCGGGAAACCGTAAGTAGACACCTCAGAATGAATGATAATATCTTCTGAAGTAGTCCATGCTCGAAGTGGAGGGGGATGATCAAAGAGAACAAAATCAAAGTCGTCTCCACAAGTTCGATGGCGATGTGTGCAGGCAAATGTGCTTTTTACTTTTGAGACATGTTTCGACCATTCAAATGGTCATCATCAGTCAAAGTACGAAATAAGGTGATGTGGAAATGGCTATGACATCATGCAGGCGAAAAAATTCTTTTTTTTTCTGTGACGGGAAAAAAGTTTGGCATTTCATCTCTGTTGAGAAGGGACGCTTGCAAAATTTCTGTGGGAGTGAGCCTACTGTCTCGTGAAAGGATAATATACTGTCGAATCGTCTCAAGTTTATACAACACATACAAAACAAATGTACTTGGCTTCAATACGTTTTTTGTATATTAGAGTACGAAGTACGGACACTATAACAAGCACTGACAATCAGACATAACCACAAATAAATTGATGAAAAAGCGGGAACTGACAGTACACGCACGTGTAAGGTTTGACAAATTGAGAGAATTAGGAGAAAGATGCAAGTTTGTGCAGTTTCCAACTATGAGAACACGGGAATTCAATTCACTCTATTCGAATTTCCATCAGATAACGTAATTCTACAAAAATGGAAACAGAATATGTTGCGGCCGGCATGGAATATGGGTTCAGGCAACAAAATTTACGAGGTATTTGAATTTATTGGTAGGATATAGAACATTTTCCAACGCATTTTTATCATGTACACTTCCGAACGGAAGATTTGATGTTGAATAATAGGATCGTATTGAGAGAAAGGGCCGAACCCACAATTTACAAACTGAGCGAGTATCCTTGTTCCAATTTAGACTCTGGTTATTGCTTGTGATGGAATGATGGAGGAGAGATCACAATAGCCACCGTGGAGAGATCATGGTCGATCATTATGATGATGAAACAGCAGCAACTTCCTGAATTGACTGACTAAAACAGATTTCACATCTCTGTTCAACCAAGAATTCTTTAGATCATCTTCGTATACGAACTCTTATAATAATTTTGTGAAAACATATAGAACTCTGATGTACCAGATATTGATGTATCGATATCAAAGAGTTGAATATATTCTTCATGTATCGCTATCGCTTCTTCAAAGTTGAAATCCCAACTCATGCGTAGTTGAGAAGTGCTAGACGACTACATAGCTCCTAGTGGATTTTGAACCACTTCTTGGGTACCAAGATGCGAGCAAGATATTATCAGACCACAGAACAGGAACGCTTAACGAGTGCACCATTCATGTTAGGTATTGAAAATGATCTTCCGATGGCCGGGTTCAAACCAACAATCCTCTTTAGCAATGTGAACGGCGATCTATAGTGAGTCGAGTGCTGAAGCCCATTTAAACCTACTTCCGTATTTCTTGGAGAACCTTTATTATTTATCCTGACTGAAATCAGATGTTATTGTTGCCTTATCATTTTTTCATTTATTAATTACTTATTACCTACCACTCTTGTACAAGTGGAATTGTTCCATACGAAATAAAAGTATGTTTTATTGGTTGAAATTTATCGGTGTTTACCCCATTCTGAACTTTTGTGATACAAAAAATATTCAACTTAACGTATATATATATATATACCGACATACAGGAGACTTATTTCATAGGAATAGAATATAGATATATATTTCGTTGGTATATATTTACATACCAACTTGATATCGACCTCCATTGAGGTCCTTCAGCCGCTATGCACTCTCATACAAAAATCGAAGACAGAGAAAGATATATGGATGTACTCTTCCCAGGACTTGTGGAGGAAGGAAGATGCGAGGATCCTTTATCTAAGCTTGAAACATATTCTTGTCCTTTTCTGGCAAAACACATGATTTGCTTCAAAATCGTTTGTGGTTATGTTTGATTGAAACTGCTTGTCTAGTGTCCGTACTCTAATATACAAAAAACGTCAAAACAACAGTGTCGAGTGCATTTAGGAACTCTACTCCATACATGTATGCAGCTTCACCATTTCATTTCCAGAGCCTACTCTTTCCACATGAACGGCGAAGGGCAGCTGCAGCCAGTTCCCTTTCCCACGGACGCCCTCATCGGGCCGGGGATACCGAGGCACGCGCGGCAAATCAACACCCTGAGCCATGGTGAGGTGGTGTGCGCTGTCACCATCTCGAATCCCACCAAGTACGTGTATACGGGGGGTAAGGGATGTGTCAAAGTGTGGGACATCAGCCAGCCGGGGTCCAAGAGTCCTGTCTCGCAGCTGGATTGTTTGGTAAGTCGCTAGATTCCAATGATTCCATATACACGACAGGTTTCGCTAGCACAGTAGATTCATCAGGTGAAATACTAGAACCAGTATGTGAAGTTTTTTCATTTGCCATGAATTTCCATCAAGTAACGGCCGAGTCAATTCAAAATTTGAGAAAAAATAATTCGATACCTGAAATTCCAATATATCCGCAAATTTTGTTAATGCTATCGTCTAAATGTGAGTTTAAGTTGATTATTTGTATAACAATTTTTTTAATTTAGTTTAGTTTAGTTTAGTTTAGTTTTTATTCATCCATTAAAGAGCTCATAAGAGCAATAGGATAAGTCAAAAGGTACACAATTCTAACACATCACAATAATACATAGGATTGAAACAAATGAATAAAATGACTTACATACAATATTTACATGTCCAAATGATACATTAATTTTGTAAAAATAAAAAGAACTCGTCAATTGTATAGGGACTGATGTCAAGGAGCAAATTTTTTATTTTATGTTTGAAATATTTTTCAGAAGGAGCATATTTGATGTTTTCTGGAATAAGATTATATGCCCTAAGTCCAATAGACTCAAACGAATGAAGTCGCAGAGATAATCGTGTCTTAGGCAGATGAAAATTGTTTTTTATGCGGGTATTGTAATCATGAAAAGCATTATTCCTCTCAAAATTGGTTCTATTTTTGTATACGAATACCAAGACTTCCATGATGTAAAGACCTGCTAGAGGCAAGATTCTGAATTTTTTGAACAAGTTTCGACATGATTCAACTGGTGGTACTTTTGCAATTGTTCTGATAATTCGCTTTTGAGATGAAAATACATTATATGCATGTGGAGAGGAACCCCAAACAATCAGACCGTAGCATAGTCTGGATTGAACTTCTCCAAAATAATACAAGAGTAGACCTGAGTTGTCAAGAATTCTAGTCAAATTTCTCAACAAATAACAGTTTCTGTTGAGTTTACTAATGAGATGAGTGCAATGGGTACGGAAATTGAGATCTTTATCTAAAAATATACCTAGAAATTTCACACTGTCAGTTTTTTCGATAGCAATATCAGAAATTTCAATATTTAAATCAATTTGATTAGTATTCTGAGCAGTCCGGAACATGACGGCTTTCGTTTTAGAGGCATTCAAGTGAAGAGAATTGTTACAAAACCAGTTCTGTAGATGATGAAGATTTGAATTGACGTTCTGTTGTAATGTATTTACTTTACTAGACCTGAATAATAGAGAAGAATCATCGGCATACAAGCAAGTAAAGCACTCAGTTAAAGCCAATGGCAATTCATTCGTATATAAAATGAAAAGTATCGGACCGAGAACTGAACCTTGAGGGACCCCAATGTCATTTGATAGTTCGTTAGAAAATATATGTTCATAATGATTATTACTTGAATGTGGTATTTTTACTGTTTGAGTTCTATTAGAGAGATATGACATGAACCAGTTGTGTTGTAATCCTCTAATACCCAAATCATATAATTTTCCCGAAAGAATATCGTGGTCCACGCAGTCAAAAGCTCGACTAAGATCACCAAAAGACCCCAGTTGGGTTTTCACCTCCTTCAATAGACTTCAGAAGAGTTGAATAAAATGATATTATTGCAGTTGTCGTTGAGTGTTCAGACCTGAATCCATGTTGGTTTGGAGATAGTACATTATTAATGTTCAGAAAGTTATGGAGAAACTTCAACATTAAGTACTCCAATATTTTCGATAACGTTGATGGTATAGAGATTGGGCGAAAATTTTCTAAATTATGTGTGTTTCCCTTTTTAAATATCGGGGAAACTATAGAGTGCTTGAGTCTTGAAGGAAACTGCCCTTGTTGGAAAGATATATTGATAATATGACAAAGGGGTGAACTAATGTAAGGTGCAATTTTCTTTAACACATATCCGGAGATACCATCAGGCCCACAGGAATGTTTATTCTTAATTTTGTCCCAGATTACTTCAAGTATATCCTCTTCAGAGATATGAGCTATGAACATACTATTTTTAACTACTGGATAATTGTATGAGGCTTTATTTGGAGTCTGAGGAATTTTGTTTTTGATTTCATGTGGTGCATTGACAAAATACTCATTGAACATGTTAGATATCACTTTAGGATTTTCTAATAGACAGCCATTAATATCTATGGATATATTTTTAGATTCTGAGTTTCTTTCTGTTAATTCCTTAACAACAGACCATGTGTTTTTGTTTACGTTTTCTGAGCTATATATTTTATTGATGTAAAATTCACTTTTGCTTGTTTTTATGAGTTTTTTATGTTGTTTCTTCTGGGTTAGATAATAATCTTTCAATTGAGGATTTTCTTTTTGAAGCTTGTACAGATTCTTGAGATTCTTACTTGAAATTTTAATTTCATTGTTAACCCATTCAGTTACGGAGCTTGTGTCACATATTGTTTTAGATAGCTTCACTGGACATTCGCAATTGAAATGGTATATCAAAGTATCATGGAAACTGTTAAACTTTTCCTCAAGGCTATCTGATAGATACATTTCTGACCACGTTTGATTTTTCAGAACATTGATCAGATTCTCAATGTTAGCGTCATTTACAAATCTCTTATACTTATATTTATACTTACCTTCTTGAATATTCTGAGTCTGCATCATAGAAAAAATTACAGTGCGGTGAGATGATATACAGTTATCAACTACATCCCACTCGTTGTCGCCTGGTAAGTTTGTGTAGATCTGATCAAGAATTGATTGACAAGTCAGGCCAACTCTAGTCGGCTTAGATATTCTGGGAGTAAGGTCATATGATGCTACTAGTTGTGTGAAATGGTACAAGTTGGTATCGGTCATTGAATGTGAGGTGTTCAATCCATTGTATCCATCTATTCAATTGTTAATTTCTAATATGAGTAGTTCAATTTGTTCATGTTTGTGTCGAGTTACTCTCGTTTTCATATCATACTAATTTTTATGAACTATTTCTGGTAAAATTAAATGTAGTGTTTGCAGAAGGAAGCAGAGCCAGAAAAATCATCATTTTCTTGTCTTGATTGAATAAGGTACCACCACTAGCTATAAAACCTACCATTATTTACTCCTTTTCGAGGCGTAAAGTGTGTTTTTACTACCAAGGTAGTTTTCGTAATATTATAAACCACTAGTCAATAAAGACATAGCCACCTCTGTTGTAATTAACCTGAATTCACTGTTCTGATGGCAATATTCGCAGGAATGGCACTTGAATCTAGTAGGTATTTATCAATAACGACTTGTCATATGCTGTCATGGTCATGTCTACTAGATTTTGATTAAAATAGAAAAGAAGTGCTTTCATAGTGAAAATAAGTCCATATTTCAGTTTCACAGAACTAAAATGATTGAAATGTATTGCTAGTGGTGAAAAAAATTCAATATACACCTTGGGTAGTAAAGAATATTATAACCACGGGACCTAATACTCCTCAGCTGAAGCCTCGGGATATAATCTTGGTCCCTGGGTAGTAATGATATTCTTCACTACCTTGGTGTATAAATAACTATTTCGTCGACCTCTACAAAACATAACATTTTACGTACTAATTTACAAATGAAAAGTCGAATATTCCTGATGACAAGTACTTTTGTCCTACGGCTCGGTGCTAGAACGGCGATTGAGTTGGCAGCTGTCAATTGGCATTTGCTTTTGTCCAATTGATTATTTACGAAATCCGATAGATTTTACGTGTGAATAAGACCGTGATATGTGAGTATAATAGTCCAAGATCCCATGAATGCCAGACCTTCCTTATTTTATAAAAGCTGAAAGTTTCTCAGCGCATGCCCCCAACACAGGTAAGACCTATGGGCAAATATGAAGGTTAGATCATGGTGCCTTTTGGGAGGTTACAGGGAGCACCCTTAAACCTTGATGAATTGAAACTTCACGTTTGTTAAAGTTTAAAAGCTCAATTTTATACATGTTACTTTTGTGATATGTTTCCTAAGTAGCCACACCGTTCTTGTGGTGCTAACCCCTATGCCAGACAGACATACAATGCTTTTGTAAATTGAGTTAAAAATCATAATTCACCTGTAATAATGTCTTCAATATTTACCAATGAAAGGTCAGTACTCTTCTCTCCATCTCAGTTGATATATATGTGCAAAGCAAAAATTCGTGACCCCTGCAAACCCCTTTTTATTAAACACAAAATTTTAACAGTTTATACGATCTTTGTCATGGAAACGGTGTGCTTAATTAAAAAACATCTAGGAAAATTTGACACTACCTCTGCACACCATGCCTCCCGACAAGCAGGTAACATTAAATTACCAATTCCATCATCGGCTCTAGTTAGAGATTCAATAATTTATGTAGGCTGTAAGATGTTCAATCATTTGCCAAAAGACACCAAAGAAGTTGGATCCAATAAAAAATTCAAACAGAATAAAAGCACTGTTTTCAGATAAACCCTATTATAGTTTACAAGAGTTTTTTGATGATACATTTTAACCACAAAACCATTTTTATTAGGAATATTTTAGTATGTTGTAATGTGTCCCTTATGAACTAGCTTATAAAAGTGTTCAAATAGATTTTAAAATGTTGTGGTGTTATAGTAGCGATTTCCTCTTGTTCTAGTCTTGATATTCATTTCAAGGTTATTTTTTTTATTTACTTTGTCAATAAGATTTTACATCTTCTGACAATAAAGCATATTCTCTATCTCTCTATCACTGATAAAACTATTATCTAGATTGGCTTATGATGTAATATCTCAGCAACCCGAAAATCTTGGATGAATTGCTCGCGCAGAAACCTCTAATCTGTCCTTTCTTATATATATGACAGGTCTTGAATACGTATGAATAATAATGTTCAGTTCGATCTCGTGAATGGCATCGCTTCTTTCTTATGGCATGAGCGGACTTGATAAGTATTCTATGACAGTGGTTGGAATGGACTAATTCTATGACAGTGGTTGGAATGGACTATAGGTCGTTTTACCTCCAGTGTAGACGTCTCGCGCGCCAAACCGAATCCATGTGATAACTTGCTAAACATTGTATCATAACACACCGATATTCTCTTCCAGCAACGCGACAACTACATCCGGTCGGTGAAGCTGCTGCCCGACGGGCGGACGTTGATCGTGGGCGGCGAGGCGAGCAACCTGTCCATCTGGGACCTGGCCAGCCCGACGCCGAGGATCAAGGCCGAGCTGACGTCATCGGCGCCCGCCTGCTACGCGCTCGCCATCAGCCCCGACTCGAAGGTGGGTACCTCAGACTGAATAACAATTGATATAGACAACGCGATTATTTCACGAATCATAGAAAAGTATACGCCAACAATCGTGATCGTCAAATGCGGATAAATGCATGAAATCGTGAATGGTGGGGATATCTGTGGACTCATTGCCATAGAATCGGAATTACGCATGTCTCAGCAAAATGCAATATAGATAGATGTAAGCCACAAAGCACATACTACAAAACAATTTTTTACAAAACTAAAGAGCAAAACATACATTCTGGATCTAGTCTGAAAATAGCTGATGGTGAAGAATATAGCTAGCGAATGGCTAATGAATAGTTAACGAACATACATAACCACAAATGCACTCGGATCAGGAATGCAGAGGGTAGTTGGCTTCATTCTGACAGGTTATGGTGTTGTTATTTATGCATTGAGATATCTCGAATAGAGCTTGATCCTAAACGAAAATCTATCGGCTACATTCAATGATACAATCCTAATTTACTGTCATCGGTCAGAACAGAATGAAGCCGACACCCATGGCTCCTTCCTCTTGTTGTGCCTGGCAGTATTTTGAGTGGTGTGGACGGACTCGGTATTAGTCGCTGTTGCAAGATATAATCTGCAATTTTCCTAGAAAATAGATCCGTTTAATTAAAGAACGAATCCATCAAAAATGACTGACAAGTTATGAATAACATATTGTAATATAACGATAGTGAAAAATTATAGTTACTATCGCAAAATATCATAATTTATCTTTATTAGTAATCAACTTCATTCAACCAATGAGAGATGTATGGAAATTATTCATAATACTTGACAAAGAAGGATTGAAGAACTTATTATATCCCATTGTTCTTATGATATAGTTATTATGCATTCAAAGAACAATTTTCGGAAATCGTATTTTAACTCTGTGTGAATGTGGATTTCAAGAAAGTACGTTATAGGAATGGTGGAGGAGCCAAGTTCCTCTTTCATTAATTTTTTTCTGAAGCGAAATTTGATCTTACCGAAAAAAAAACGTACTTATATGTTAATTTTTCACAAACTTCACAGTGAGATAAGTAACCCCAATGTAGGAAACTTCCCCATTGTTCAAGTTTGAGGATCCCAATCGATACATACCTGATAGGAATATCTTTTTGGGTGATCAAGAAAAAACCAATGTCATACCCCAATAATTTTCAGGATTGGTGCTCGAAATTAGTGGTGAAAGATCGACAGACAGGGCATACATTTTGATTCAAGGGTATGCAGAATAAGGCGCAGGCTTATCTTAATCATCAGATACCAATTTTTATATTGATGATTTGAATGCATATCATTTGTCTCAATCCTCTATCCTATTCTTAACTAATAAATCCTTACCTAGCTGGCATATATCATCCATCAAATTGTTTCAGGTGTGCTTCAGCTGTTGTTCGGACGGCAACATCGCCGTGTGGGACCTGCACAATCAGACGCTGGTCAGGCAGTTCCAAGGCCACACGGACGGGGCCTCCTGCATCGATATATCATCGGACGGAACCAAGTTATGGACCGGTGGGTTGGATAATACGGTGAGTGCTGTTGTCGCAATAGGATAACAAGGTTGTATATTTCAATCTTTTGCCACAAAACTCTTCGACTGATCCAAATCAGATCCTGACTTTTAAAATGGGCTACATAATAGTAGGAAAGCCCAAGCCTGTTATGAAAGCTGTGTGATAAACGGTTCCAGAGATATTCGTAAAAACTGTTTTTTTTTTATTTCAACACCGTGTATCTCAAAAGTGGTTGTCAACCTTTTATAGTATATTACGTAATGTGTTGTAAGAAGCATATTACGCACGTAGCCGCGAGTGCGTAATTCCATGGGTACGTAATCATTTCACAACACGCATTACGTACTATACTTCACCTACTGCTATATAGTACATCAAAAAAGTTTGGACAAACAGTCTGAATTATAATTCTTGACATTTATGTCATCCGCTGTTGACGGCGATTACGCGATCATGACATACCTGTGCGATGTGCTTACTGTGCGTAAAGAGCTACTTACTGAGGCTGTAACTCGAGTGTTCTTGCCTACTTTCTATAGTGACCGTAGATAAAATAATTTACCAAACCTAACCTGACCTACGGCCAGTATAGAAAGTAGGCAAGAACACACGAGATACAGCCTTAGTAAGTAGCTCTTTACGCACAGTAAGCACATCGCACAGTTTTCGTTTATTCCGCCAGTCATACTGTTGAGTCATTTCAGGTATTTGGTATATTACTATGCAGCATTTTCCACAAAACCACCACTATGGCAAGCATGAAGTACAATAAATCGTTCCTCATCATAACCTTCTGGTTTACGAACACTTTTTGTACTTTGATCTTGCCATGATCTCATCTTATTCCCTTTCGCAAATATCCAAGTTTCATCTAAGAAGACGATTTGTCTAGGGTAACTAGAATTGCGATTTTCATAAAACTTTCTGAAAAACTCTGCTCTCATTATGGATATGTCCTTCTTCTCAACCAATAACCGTCTGTTGTCCTCTTTTTTATATTTGAATCCTACATTTGTGAGGAATTTGCTCAATGTGCCTATACTTGTGTCAAGAATATGTTTAGTTCTGAGTTCTTCTTTCAAAATTCTAAGAGTGATGTGTTTTTCTGTCAGTTGAAGGTAGTCAAGAAGTATCAAATGAAATCATCAAGATCTACTGTCTTGGGTTTTTTTTAGTCCTAGATTTTCCTGGCGTACTCAAACTTTCGTTTCTCTCAGAACATACTTTAATACTCGAAACTGTCCGCAGATTAATATTGAGGACATCAGCGACACGCTAAAATTATGTACATCATGATGATATTTCTGAAGTAAGGTCTGACTATTTTTATTATTGATCAGGAAGAATTATGATTTACCTGTTGTATGGAAGTAAACGGGATTAAAGGACCATTATTATCTTTCTCTCTTGTGAAGTATTGTAACAAATTCGATACAAGACTTCATGCTTGCTAATTCAAACGTCTTCCTGGCATGTTGAATATCTGATAATGGCCACGCAAAACGATGTCATTTCAGCACCTACTGCACGCCTCTGAATTAGCCGATTCAAATGTGTCTCGACATACGAACAACTCTGTATTCAAGCTTTTATCCCGTTGAGTTCAGAAACGATGTCGTAACTTATGTCAACAAACGTCATGATAGACATTACTGCTCTATATGCAAGTCTGAAGAGGATAGCAAGTTGCGCGTAGGTCTATGCTAATTTCAGTCACACGCAAAGAAATATTATACAGACTGTAACTAAGACCGTATTATGTGAATTTCGTGAAATCATAATTCAGCCTCGTTAATTCCCCTCTCCGCTTCCCTTCCAGGTGCGAAGCTGGGACCTGCGCGAGGGCAAGCAGCTGCAGCAGCACGACTTCAGTTCGCAGATCTTCTCGCTCGGCTACTGCCCCACGGGCGAATGGTTGGCCGTGGGCATGGAGAATTCGCACGTCGAAGTGCTGCACGCTGCCAAGGCCGACAAGTACCAGCTGCACCTGCACGAGAGCTGCGTGCTGAGCTTACGATTCGCCACGTGCGGCAAGTGGTTCGTGTCGACGGGGAAGGACAATCTGTTGAACGCGTGGCGGACGCCGTACGGGGCGAGCATATTCCAGGTGAGGGCGAGGATTATTCATTTATTTATTTATATTGATAAGGGATATTCTCAGATATAATTATGAACATACGAAAATAGTTATTTAACCAACTAGTTAATCGCATTTTAATATACAAGTTGGTTAAAAAAATTTTCCGTCGACTATATTTCTCATTTCTCCTGCAATGAAGAAAACTTGGTTCGCGAATTCATCATTCATCCGGAAACTGCTAAGAATCACCCAGTAGCCTTGTTACTGACATTAGTGACATTTGACATTTGTCGAAATGATCAACATTGAAAATAAATTCCTTGTGTTAGAAAACATGGATTAAAATCATGTCAGAAACTTGGAAAGGTGAACCCGTTAACGGAAAATCTTCCATGAAATCCATATTTCCGATTTAAATGCAGATTCCGTAAGTTATAGCATAAACAATTGATGCATACGGTGTATGTTTGGTTGCCTATAAAACAATCGCGCATTAATAATCAAATCGATCATCAACAGAGGTCATTAATGAATGATTTCATGAACATTGAAGTTACTCGTTAATACGAGGTCGACGGAAATAGATATATAAAAGGTGTTCTTGAAATAAGTGCACATACTCAGCACATGAATATGATACAGCCTAAGGAATAGCCCAATGATATCAGATTTTTTCTAATTCTAATAAACGAGAAATTTCATCCCAAAAATTGAACAAAATACAAGAAAAAAATCAAGTGCGCCACTTTGAAACAATTCAAATGATTGAACTCCACGTGATTGTGCCTACCACATGGAAATATGAACAGAGGTGACGTCAGATTTGCTCAAATTTTATTTTGATCCCTAAATTATTTTTATTAGTGCCATTCGATGAGCTTTGTCAGTGTTTGAAACATTTGCACTTATTTCAATTCAATCAATTCTTTCTCGGTTTATTCAACAGAAAACAACTACTTCAATGGCTATATTCCTCAACAATCAACACACGATGAGAATTTATAAACAAATTCTTCTGAATTATAGAATTCGCATTCTCCTTCATATGAAGATATGCACATAATATTCTGAATATTCAACAGAAAACAACTACTTTCCTGGCTATTTGCCACGTCAAACATTGAATTATATCTGTTGAACATCCAAAAAGAGAGCATGAAAAATGAAAATCCTCTGAAATTGAGAATTGACATCATCTCTCAAATCGGATAAAATAATATGATGTATTATGATATGAAAATATAACTTACCAATATGTTCAGTATTGAAATAAAAATTGAAATGTATATGAGAAGTAAACTCGTATAAACTCTGATCTTGATGAGCTTGAAACTTGAAAACTTGGATAAAAGAATCATTCATATCAGTGATATGGGAATTATATCTCTCACAAATAGGTTTTATGACTTCACTTCAATAAACTCATTTCGGATATCAAATCCTTATCAGTAACCTGAAGTCCAGTTATTCTTTCAGCCATTCTTCATGATATACACAATTTTCATCTCCCTATAATATAACTAAAACTATAACGAACTGACATATGTGAATTATGATTTGTTGACATACTCCTGCCATCTGGGCAATTGTTTTTGGATGTATAAATTGATATTCATCATACAGGAATGAGTTATTGAGGACATGGGAGAGGCCGAAATTTTTGACACTAAGGATGTGTTTGGAGTAGATAGGTAGTAAAAATTCCAAAAGTCCCTGGACCTACAAGGTGAGCTAAGTGCAGGGGGTGACGTAGAAGGTCCCCTTTTTATTCATCTCTCAAAATCGGTACGTCACAGCAAAAAAGTCGATTCATTCAAAATTGTAGCTGATAAAATTTTCTACGAAATTGTACCAGTAGGTTTTTACCTACATCTTATAGGTATCCAGATATTCGCTAGCGAATCATAAATTTAATCTTTCAGAACTGAACATTTTCCTGGAAAAATGTGAATAGTTAGTGAATCAGACGTTCTCATTCCGAATCCGAAGTGATTTTCAACCAGAATGAGGAACAAAACTTTCAGTATCACCAGTTGGCGTTACTAGACCGTGAAGCCTATGTCAAAGTCAAAAGTCCTAAAATTTTGTCAGATAGCCCTGAAGACTAGGGCTTGTTTTTTTTTCAAAATGTGTAAAAGTGATGTGACCTTTGTTAACAAACAAAAGAGCTCAAGTTATGGTTAGACTTGATCATTCTTGCGATTCCTACTCTCAATTTGGAACTTCACGCGCATTTTTTACATCAACAGAGAACAATGAGATCAAATGAAACAAAAAGTAGATTACCTATCAGTTTCACCAACTTTGACATCTCAGTAGCGTGAACTAGTGACAATCGAAATATGTTAACACTTATTCAGATACTATGCTCTCGGATAATTCTACTTCTGACGAATCACTACGCTAATGAACGATAGTCGATAATTAGAGGCAGGTGACTGGATCGGATCCCTGATAATTCCAGATCGATTAAATTAGATTAGATTGGGGTCTTTGGACTAGTTGCCTCCACACCGCGACATTTTCAGATCTGATCTAAATCGTTCACGAGTTATTTTACTATCCATGTCTTCTCTCCAAGACTTCAGAGACTATAATCTGGATATCCTGTGTAACTAATTCTTTTCTCCTTTTCCAACGCAAGGAAATGAAAAGCACTCACAGCATAGAATGTGTGCTACTGTTTCCTTCCCTCCTTGACAAAACCTGCACAGTAGTTCTTCATTCAGATGAGAAATCTCATTTTTTTCTGGTTGCAGTTTTATCTGAATCAAGAATCAATATTGGCGATTGCTTTTTAATGAACTCTCCTCTCTGTCTCATTCCTGGCGAATAGTTCCACCATTTAATAGAATATTATTGCATCCATAATTTGGGTGGTTGTCTTACTACAGTTCCTACTATACGAGAAAAAAAGAAAAAAGAAAAAAGTTTCTGGTCCATCCAGATCTTTTTTTTGCTCCTGCTCAGGCTACTGAATCCACCTCTTCATTGCCTTCATACTCTGTGTGTTCTAGTATCCATTCTATAGTTAGTCTGCATTCATTTGCCCTATGAACTCATGCAAATGATATATTTTGATAAATTCTGCTTGAAATACCTTAACACTGTGAGATTCTTGTATTTGGCTAATCTTTACCGTGCATATAGTTTATTGTTCATCACAACTAAACTGATTTCGTCTCAACTGTATATACCGGGTGACACAGGGTATCTGGCCACCCCTGTTACTTCTGCATTCGTAAACGGACATTTCTGATATTTGGTACAGTTATGAAGGTGGTTGCTTATATAACTGTACAAAATTTCAGAAAAAAAAAACGAATGCAGAAGTTTCAGGGGTGGACCGGTACCCTGTGTCACCCAGTATAAGATTCAATAGAAAATCTTCAACCATTGTTAAAGTGTTTTTTCTTGCACCAGTAGGACTCATGCCGGCTTGACCTTCAATGGCATTGTGCCTTTGAAACACACACAGAGTGTTACTATAGGTAGTGATTTTTTGGGGGTTCACTGTGATTAGATCCTCTTATACCACTAGTGTATAATGTTTAAAATGATATGTGTTAGCTCAGTGACCGTTCTTGTGAATCTTCAGTATCTTTGTGACATCAATTTTTCAAACTCATAGAACAAACAGACACCACACTTGTCAGGGTTACGGTACGGTACAACCGCCATCTTGAATTCTTGAAATTCCTTTCTGATATCGTCACATGAGGGCAAAACAGGATAGCCAACCTAGGAATATATTGAGTTTACTCATGTTGCTGAACTTGTTTTGTTTTTATGACTTTGTTTGTTTACATTTTGCGATGAACAGGGATAAAAGAAAAGAGAAAAAAATCAATGTTCGTCGTGGCATACAACCAAGTAGTTGTTTTTTGTTGAATATAGCGAGAAAAACTCAATATTTTTATCAGGCAGAGAATGTGAATTCTCAATGCATTCCTCTATACTATTATGTATCCAACCTCAAGCAGTGAGCAACATTTATTAGGTGCTAATTCCTTATTCTTATTATATAGGGTATATAGAAAATTCTCGTTTTTATGAACTTCTGACTCGAAAACTGCTTCATATAGATCCACTAGGACAGTATATTGAGCTTAAATGGTCATTTTATTGCTTGGACCATCAGACAAAAATATGTGTTGCAATTCTACTACTGAAGCAATTGACGAAAAACAAAACAGAATTATGCACAAATTCTTATGAATATTTCAATACATGTATTTTCAAAATGTGAGAAAACAATTTTATAATTTTTTTATGGCGGCTGTCGACATTCTGGGCAAAAGGAAAATTTTAACCTTTTTCTCCTGAAGTATTTTATATTTGAACCGAATTGCAAACTCAACAAGCCCCAATTCTTTATATGACGATTGAAAATAATCTTGATTGTACTTGGAACATGCTTTTCTAATAATTCTTTTTGTTTCAGTCCAAGGAATCGTCGAGCGTATTGAGTTGTGACATTTCCACGGATGACAAATACATTGTGACCGGATCTGGTGACAAGAAAGCGACTGTCTATGAAGTGATATACTAATAAAGTGACACAAGTGCAAGTGATGAGGAGAATTTGAACAGTCAAAATGAATAGTGGAGTATCATCGAATGTGTATCTAAGAAACAATTTGATTAAAAAGCACAATAATTACTCTTCTATGAATATTTTGTGACACTGAATGTTTGAATAGAATCTACTTCAAGTGTACATAAGATAACTTAAGTGGTATACAGAGGGGGCATAATTGTTTTATAGTTTAGCTTGTCAAACATTCACTGTTTATGATTGAGTAAAATCCTGTGACTCTGTGACACCCTGTATATTTCAATTATAGATAGAGAAGCAAAAGATTTTTAAATTATGTTTTTACTTTATAGCGATCGCGATGGATATATTTGTTATTTGTTTGAAAATCAGAAATATTGTTGAAATGTGTGTGAAATTAGATGTCTCCGAAATGGCACAAGTGATCCAAATTCAAATATAACATTCAGACTTTCATTAACTTCTCAATGTTATTACGAAACAGAAGATTATGTAGCATATTTTTCGTAATTGAATAAAAAATATATTACAATTTATGGAATTTGTTTTTCTCCAACTCAACTAGGAAGGATAATATCGGATGCTGTGTGGTGATATAATCGGGATATTTCAGTAATTTCCATGTGGAATGAATCAATGTTCTCTATTAAGTGCCGCAATATTCGGTGCTTTGACGTCTCTAATTCATAATTTACGTAAATGATATATCTGTTAGTGAAAAACCATGAAGGTAGGGTGATTCACCATAAATGTCCCCCACCCCCCTCTAGCCCCCTTATTTTTGAACCGATTTAAGCATTCGAAAAATCGTCTAAAATGATTTTTCAGAATTTTTTTCCCGTAGCATCAGAAAATACAGGGTGCTCGGAACAAACGATCTACAGAGTACTACTTGATTTTTTCAAATGGAACACCCTGTATTCCATTGTATTTTTAGATTCTTCCTGATGAGCTGATTTCATCAATACATCACACTTGGGGTCTAGCGGGAATGATTACAGAGATATAGAGTGTTCAAAATCGAGATTTTTCAACTTTTGGATTTTTTGTGTCCAAACTATTCATTATTGGTCAAAACGGCTTCAATGTCCATATCTCAACTTCTGATTTATCATCTACTGACATTTAACTGGAACATATACAGTGTGGTTCAAGATTCAGAATTCTGATCACCCTGTATCTGTTCCAATTATTAAATGTCAGTAGATAGTAAATCAAAAGTAAGGATACGGACATGAAAGCCGTTTTGACCGGTAATGAATAGTTCCGTCACATAAAAATCCCAAAGTTGAAAAATCTCGATTTTGAACACCCTATATCTCTGTAATCATTTTCGCTAGACCCCAAGTGTGATACATTGATGAAATCAGCTCTTCAGGGAGAATCTGAAAATACAATGAAAAATAGGGTGTTTCATTCAAAAAAATCGAATAGTACCCTGTAGATCGTTTGTTCCGAGCACCTTGCATTTTCTGATGTAGCGGAAAAAACTCTATCGAAAATCATTTTAGATGATATTCAAAATTTTGCAGTCGGTTCAAAAATAACTGAGCTAGAGGGGGAGGACATTTATGGTGAATCATCCTGTACATGATAAAATAATGATAAAATATGATGCAGCACTTGTTGATATTGATAAGTAGTTATGCTGAATCATAGTGAAGAGAAAGTCTCGAGAATTGTTTTTTCCTTCAAATAAAAATATTAAAAAGGGTGATACTGAGAAAGGACCCCACACGAAAACACCCTAAATTGGCTCATTAGAAAAATATGTGAGTTTGAAAAGTTTTGTATGTTTAGTTTCTGAGATATAAGCCGACAAAGTTCGTAAACGTCGAATCGGGGTAGGATTGACGAAGAAAAAATAGTAGATTGTTTTATTAGGATCAAAAGTGACACTTTGTTTGACAAGCGAATTTTGCATTTGCGAGGCGGAGCGTTTAGCGAAGCCGAGCGAAAGCAAAATTTGCGAGTCGAACAAAGTCACTTTCGATCCGAATGAAACATGCTATTTTTTCTGCAACCGAAACAATTAACTCAAATAAACATGTGAAGTAATCACCAATGTCGTGCCATATGTAGGTATGCAATGCAACAAATATTGACAAATAATCCATGTGGTGGGAATATTCTACCTGCATTAACAGCAGGTTAGGTTTTCTAGGATGTTCGAATTGTAGTTTCAATATGAATACAACCACAGAGTGACATATTTGTGTATGGACGAGGTGCTCTAATGGCAAATACCGCGCCAGTGCCAGCTATATAGGAACAAGACGTGGAAAATGTTAGGTTAGTGAGCATATCAGCAATGATAATAGTGATTATTTATTCCTCTCCATAATACACTGTGTTTGACTTGATAATCAAATGAAGCTAAACAATATCGTTGTTTGAGACAAAAAACTATTGCTTGCCGTGATTATTCAAAAACAAGTTATCCATCCTGAGTATAACGAATGAAATACAGATCAAGCAAGTATTTGAATCTTGAAGGCTTCCCTGATCAAAACAAAAATACTTAACTAAGATGTTTATAATTCCAATACTGAACTATAATAAGGTGTATTTATATCTCCAGCATGGGTATGAGATGCTAAATCTGCTGAAATCGGAAACAAATCACGTATGCGTCCCAACCCAAATAACCAACCATCACAATGTTGTTTATTCTTGATGACTTCCAGTACATCCTTTTTAGTTCCTAGGAGCTAAAGTTCAACTTTAGCTCCTAGGAACTAAAATTCAACTTTAGCTCCTAGGAACTAAATATGTTGCCTAGCAACATACCTATTTTTGTGTCAGTAATAGAAACGTCAATTCAAGAGCTAATTTTGGTATCAAAATGGACGACTTTTGTGTCGGTTGCAGAAAAACTATTTTTTTAGTATAAATAAGACAAAATAAGCTATAAAATGTATTGATCGGAACTCAAATACATGTCTAGTTATGATCACATGGATTGTAGTAAATCAGGGTGTATACGAGGCACGGTCAAAAAATTTATTTTTCGGAAAGAAAATTCGAGCACTATTCCAAAACCAACAAGTAATATTTTGGTGAGACATTATAGTTTTAGTCTATTGTAGGCTTCGAAAACGTATTTTGATTCTTGATAACTATCTCTGTTCGAAATATGAATTCTTTGAATTTTGTGTTATACCCCATTTTGAAAACAATTGAAAGCTTGTTTTTGATCACAAAGAAAGGGATTGATTGATACCGTTGATTGAATGAAAGCTGAGGAAACTCACTAGCGAATTCAGTTGTTCAATATTGCCTTTCATTTAGATACAGGGTGTGTTAGATTTTTTTGAAGATTATTTAACATGTTTCAATTGAATATCTCGAAAACAGTTCCGTTAATTTGGATCTCATTTTACATATACTATTTTGAATATGTTGACTATCATATGCAAAAAGTTTTTCAATTTTTTATGTTTCGTTTCTGAGATATCAATTTTTGATAGTGATATCCGAGGTAATAACACTATAATACCTGTAATACTGTGGACTCAAAAATGCATATCTCAGAAACGAAACATAAAAAATTTAAAAACTTTTTGCATATGGTAGTCAACATTTCGAAAATAGTGTGTGTAAAATGAGATCCAAATTAACGGAACTGTTTTCGAGATATTCAATTGAAACATGTTAAATACTCTTCAACTAAATCTAACACACCCTGTATCTAAATCAATATTGAACATCTGAATTCGCTAGTGAGTTTCCTCAGCTTTCATTCAATCAACAGTATCAATCAATCCCTCCCTTTGTGATCAAAAACAAACTTTCAATTGTTTTCAAAAAGGGGTATAACACCAAATTCTAAAAATTCATATTCCGAACAGAGATAGTTATCAAGAATGAAAATACGTTTTCGAAGCCTACAATAGACTAAAACTATAATATCCGACCAAAATATTACTTGTTGGTTTTGGAATAGTGCTCGATTTTTTTTCCGAAAAATGAATTTTTTGACCGTGCCTCGTATACACCCTGATTTACTATAATTCATGTGATTATAACTAGACATGTCTATGAGTTCCGATCAATACATTTTCTAGCTTATTTTGTTTCATTTATACTAAAAAAACAGTTTTTTTCTTTGTCAATCCTACCCCGATTCGACGTTTTTACGGCTTATATCTTAGAAACTAAACATACAAAACCTTTTAAACTTACATATTTTTTTAATGAGCCATCCCACAACAGCGTCAAGGACCCAGAGCCAATTTCCCGTGTTTTCGTGCGGGGTCCTTTCTTGGTATCACTCTCGATGTGAGAAAGCTATCATGCCAAGTGTTTCTGTTTTCACAAAATGAGACATAAGGCCTGTTAATTTGTATTGCTATACTTGCTAAGGTTGATTTTTGTCCCATAGTTGTCTCTGTTCATAGCATGATGTGAACAGAGGGTCATATAAAAAAATCAAGTTCAGCAGGTAGAGCAAGCACAAACGAACAGGCCTCTATAAAGTGCTTTCACGTTTTGATTGGAATGAAAAAGCGAGCTATGCCGCTATCCTATCACTCCTACGTAGCAGCTAGCCCCCAGCACGACCGATTACTTTACCAATGAAAGCTGGGTTACTGCGATGTAGGAAGAGATGGAAAAAGCTAACAGGTATATTGAATATTTTTTATTTACAAATATGTATTATGTTTGTATATCGATATAAACAATTCTGTCATTATTGTTAACATTTGGTACAGTTATTAATTTAGAAATGATAATGTTCACCTAACGACAAATATATAAAAAGAAAACTCAGTCACTGAAATGCCCCCACGTTTTCATGGTTTTGATCAGTATACTTAAAAATAACAGGCTCACAATGTTGCCCATACAGAGAAAACTTATAAAAATATTACGTTTTCAACTTACTGGTGGCTACATCTACGCAGAAAAACACTACACTTAGTACACAGAGATGAGCTTTCTGAAACATGAATTATTACTGGCAACACTGTGACACCCTATGAGGACATAGGAATGCAGCCATTTGAGCTCATGAAGAAGTAGAAAAAATTTGGAATGACAATTTTTCTGATAACACAAAATCTGCATAGGAAAGTAAAAAAAAACATTTTGTAAAAAGTGTTAGTAAATTCATTACTAAAACCTAAAAATTCAAGCAGGGCTAAGGCTAAATAATGTTTCGTTTCTGAAAAATTCAAATTATAAATGCAAAAACGCCAGACATGCGCCACAAGAACTATAACATGTAATTTATCTTAGAAACGTAATCTCACTAGTTTATCGATACAAAGTCAAAAGTAACGAAGTGGTTTCAACAAAGTGATTTTGTAACGCTTTAGATGGCAATAAACAATAAATAATAAACATCTTATAGAACGAGAACAATCCAAAACTAATTTCTCGATCAATCAAATATTTCCCAAGACAAGAAACAACATATTTTTATTACCATGGAATATTGCTAGTTTTCAAATTGTTCATAGTCTGATTGGCCGAGAAATAAACAAATGAAAATATGAGTATTATAACTTTTTGATTCTTTCAATTTACACTTATTTAAGTAATATCCAATCAACCCTTCCAAACAATGATTCTAGTTTTCAAAAATGTAACAAGAGACTGTTGCTCAGCAGGCACATCATGAGGTATCAGAAATTCAAAGGAATCAATCAGCAAGAGTTAAGATAAGAGTTTATAACCAGTTTTGGTTTTTGGATAAGGAGACGAAAGTACGAAAATAATCTTCAAGGATTTGTATTTTTTGAAAGTCACTTTGATATTGTTATAAGGAAGGGGAAATGAATGAAATGGAAAATTTGCTTTTGCTGTGTATCGTTTTGAAAAGGGTGCTCGCTTATGAAACTTCAACACAGAAATCAAAATATTTTGGAAGGGGCGCAAGAGACAGAAAAGGGACATTGAGAGTATTCAAATTTTGTTCCAAAATGTATTCAATATTATTCATTCCTTTGTAACACACGGTGGGGCGATAGTGCGTCAGATATAGATTTTTCCAGTCAAACAATAATAATTATAAACATGATTCAAAAACGAATGTAAACGTGACAACAAGGTCTACAGCAAAAATTACTGCACACATACGGGACGTACCATAAAACTCTAGAGGGTCAAAGGCAATTTTTTTAAATGAAATCCAATGAACTTAAACAAATTTTTCAAAGCATTTGATTCCACCACTCCAATATTATCGACAATGTTTGAAAATTATTTTTTTTTATCAAGATCAATTTTCTCATATTTTTAATCAGAAAACCGTGTATATTTCTTGGCCATGTGATGTAGAATTGGAATACGAATATGTCCCTATAGCTACTCCTAACCATTCTTGAATTATTAACTTTGACAATTCCAATTTGCTCATATTTATTTATAGATATTCCGAGCCATAGAAACGATATTATCAATGAAAACTCAAAAGTTCCTTCAAACATGATTCATTAAAACAAAATGCAAGGGAAAAAAGAAATCTCCAAGTGAAATATTCACAAGATTGCGAAATCTAGGAATAAGAACACAAAATTAATTAACTACCCTAAGACTTGAGCAATCGGCCTTTGACGCACTTTTGCATCTCCCTGTATATTTAGGCTGTATACTTTGTCTATTCTATTCATAATGTAAAATTTAGATTTAGAACTGGTACTGATAAGAGCTGTTTGAATTTCATGACACATTCTGTCTCTATGCAAACATATTGTTATATAAGTGATATTGCTGATTGATTCTTTAGAAATTTAGCAAAAGAAACAGTTTAGACCTCAAGATGTCTGTGCTAATGACCACAAAATGATACTCGATTCCCTATAACACTGTTTCATCAAGATATATCATAGATGATTGTGTCTCATTATCTCAGTAATCATGACAAATCAGTATGAAAATAGTTTACAAACTACATATTTTATTCAGACGCCGAGAATGACAAAATCTTCGAAAGAATAAGAAAATCCATAGATCAGATGAAATTACTGACCTGAAAAGTCAGACAGAGGAGCAATCTTGTCAACAACAATATTATTTCCTACTGAAAAATCCTACTTGAACTAAAAAAACTGAGTAAATCATTCATCTCAAATACTTTCAGTATCAATGAACGAATAATAAAAAACATTATACCTTGTGATGGTTACGTATTTACTAGAAGATAAATGGATGTAGAATATCCTTGTTGTGTCTCTTGGTCTAATCAGTTTTGTTGTCAACATCCAGATCTTTTAGTAAAAACAGAAGTTTCGAGAGTTTCCAAGACAATAGTCTTTATAAGCGTTTCAGTTACAGTGAAATGCCTTTCAACAGAGCGATGGAATTTTTGACCTCGATATAAAGAAACGTACAACAAATTAACGTACCTACGCATGAATTATCTAATTAATAAATAGGAAAATAAGGCAAAATGAAACTTGTCATGGATGAAAATTCCATAACAGTGTTGAGAGGACATCTACTTGAACTTATAAATATTACATTTTCTAAAATAATTGGTAAAATGATCATTACCCTGCCTATAATAATAGTACATTTTTTTTGACATCACAACTATTATTCAACAAAAGGTTGATCCCCATCAGAAGGTGAAATGAAATCAACAAACAATGTATGATAAATTCAGTTTCCAAAAACCTCTGACTTGAAACAAATACTTCAATTATTAAAATGGCTCTGTATGCTGCAAAAATATAGGTAAAGATTGGATTGTAACATTGAACCTGAAAGCTAATGAATGTTTTCGGCAATTTGCTATCATTAAAGGAATTTCTCAATAAATAACAGAGAATATTGGGAGAGTTATATTAAATTGGAATTTTATATTTTGTAACCACTTGTCAGAAAACCAGACAAGTGGCTATTCTAAATTATTCACTAATTTAAAAAACTTTCAAGAGTACTTTTCCACGTCAACATGATTTCATTGAACAGAAACATTTTTATCAGTAATGAGTGAATGTTGAATTATTACAGTATTTTGTATATCTCTCCATATTTCTTGACCAAATCATATACAATTTGCAAAATTGTTGCGGATTATCGTATTACGATAATGATAGATCATATTATTAGGATAATGATGATAAATTACCACTTTTGTGGTTTCTAATTTGTTCACTAACTCAGTCCAAAATTATCTTATCTATAATTGCTGAATACATTTATTTATTATTTATTACTTTCATTATACCAGGAGATTCCCCAAGATGGACCAACCCTATAATTTTTTCATTATTGAATCTAGTGAAACAAAATTAAAGGGCTGAGAATTATAGTTCAATTGACATTTTGGCATATCTACTTGCTTTGATGTACTTCCGGTTTGACATATTTAAAAATCGAAAGTTGGGGTCCATTCCGGTCAAACCTCAAGTACGCAAAGCAAGTAAATATGTAAAAAAATGTGAATTAGTTTCTATAGTTTCTATCGATATAAGTAGTTTCCATAGATATTGTATATGATAAGTTTCCATAGATGTTGTTATTGAAAATGAACATATGTTGGGCTTCTGCCTTTGTTTGTTCTAGATTTGCATAGGCAATTCACCAAAACGCAAAATTGATTGTGATGGATTTTCAATTTCAATCGTTGTTCATTATTTAATAATCTCTTTTTCTTTCTATAACAACATCAAATATATATTATTGAATATCTATATAAACTTATCATATACAATATCTATGGAAACTACTAATATCGATAGAAACTATAGAAAAACTAGTCTTCCAACAACCCCCAAATTTCTACCTTCAATAAAAAAATAGTTATAATGTTGAGCCATCTTGGAAAATCACTGGGTATATAACATGTAGAACATAAGTTTTATATTTTAATAACCTATCAATTGGCAGGAAAAGCATTGTTCAAAGGATGTCTGAGGACAAATTTTACGACCATATCTCAGGAATGAGCCCTGATGATCGCAAATTGCTGAAAACGTTAGAGAATAATTTTGCCTACATTGACTGAATAATAGAACTTATAGTATGGTTTTTCCTAGAATTTAAACTTCCAGTCAAAACACACCTTCATGTATGAGGATCCCTCTTTCGAGAGAATCTCCTAAACACTCAAGACAGACGTACTGACCAACATACTGTCATGGCTCTTAACGAGAGAAAACAATCTATATAGATATCACTCGACCAAAAGATCATCACGTCAACAAAGAATAGAAAAGGAAGAGAACGTATAATACAAAGGAAGAACCTAGAAAACTCTTAGGTGTGTTATATCACACGATATCAATAATTTAAAAAATATAATTTCTTCAATATACCTACTTGTATGTACACCTAATTTACATCACACAATATCTGACAATCAGAAAGTCCGAACTTTTCGCGGTATTTGTTCTGAATTTTATTAATCATTGGTTATATCAACCAACAGTATGAGAACGGAGCTCAATGCCTGAGCCTCTCTACAGGGTGATTAACACTGTTTCCAAATAAATGATGTGGGTGACGAAACAATATGTCAAACATTGTTAGAATCTGACCTACATCTTCCTCTCTCATGAGGATTTTGAAAGCATGTAAATTTTTCTGTTTACTTGATTTCTGGAAGAGCACCTCAAATTATATGAATAAAATGAAAATATTAGTTATTTCCTAGCTATTTCATTTCTCACCAGCATCATCCAATTCCGCTAATTGACAATCAAGATCATCTGGACTGTAGTTTTATCAAATGCCTCAAATTCAAAATATGACTTTAATTTAATTAATGTCAACATTTTGCAAGAACTGAACATGTATAATATTCAAGGTGGAAATAATTTTAGTTGATCTTCCTTAATTCACGAGAATTTTTACCAAAATCTCGACAGAAGAAAATATTTGCATTCAAATAACTTTTTTTTTTCGGATACAATATTGAATCACCCTGCATATTTCTGTCATAACCAAATCAACAGTACATTTTTGATCAGACTAATTTCAACAATAGACAATTATGTTGAATAATATAATATACTAATGAAAAAAGATCACAGAAATAATGATGATGTGATTGGAGATAAGTTCTAATACCAAACAATGTCGATAAACTTTACTCCTAAAATGGGACGCAACTTTCTGATTGCTCGATATTCTGTATTTACACCATGATCGGATCGTCACAATCGTCCATGCACTTTGCTTCTGTTGACAGCTGGCGCCTCAGCTTCGGCATGGGGCCAGTAGATATTGACCTAACTGTAAGATATAATGATTTTTATCCACTCACTGAATCGAGAGTAGGTGTTTGCCTATCTAACTTTACGATTGACGTTGTGTGCTTGACATAAGGTGTATTTATTTTCAGAAAATAAATAGTTTTTATTGAAAGGTCAAAAGTCATCTGCCACTTTTCCATCAAATTAGAAATTAGAAAATTATTACCAATACATTTTTGGGTAATTTATTCCTGATTTCACTGGCACTAGTGATATTTTCTTCTTTTGACCTGAATATAGATGTTTTCTGTACGTTTCGGCTTGGAACTGTAGAGGATGATGATGACAGTATATTCCACGCCGGCCATTTCACGTTTCCAATTTAGTAAGATAATTTATTTGGTGGAAATTCAAATGAAGTGAATCGATTCCCAGTATTTTTACAGTTAGAAGCAGCACAAACTTGCATCTTATTGTTCTCCCTTCTGTCAGTTTTTGTCAGAGTGTTCGTACTTTCAATGTACAGAAACGTCAGAATAAAAGTGTCAAATACATTGAGGAACTCTAAATGTCCCAGTACAAGATTTCAACCCATAAGGCACTCCTGCGACGTATGATCGGCTGGCGTCTATAGACTGAATTTAAGAACGCAGCGCAGTGGCCAGTTGTGGAACTATGTGAAAATACATTGTTTTGAAATAATTCATTTGTTGCGTGTATCATTTCGATTTTTTATAGTGATTTGAGCAAAGAAAACTGTTGATTTGTGTACTCTTGTGATTCGAGGGAGCTTTTCAGCAGATATTAATTCAATAAAGTATGTTTCACTACTTGAAATACCTACATAGATTCGCAAAATAAAACTGCCCCAATTTGAGGTTACGTTAGTTTGCATTTTATTCCCATTCAGTAGTAAAATAAATATTGCAAATTAAGTGGAGTGAATATGATGTTCACAAAGCAGGTATTTCAGATATATGTATTGTAGTCGATTTATCTACATACATGTTATGGAAGAGAAGAAGTCCTCAAAGCTGGATGTATCTGCGAATAATTAATCTACCTAGTAGGAAATATTGAACATACGTGCTTTGTTTTTGAGTGAGGATTTCATTATTTTCAATTCCTACTGTAACTTTTTACTTCTGGGGATAAAATGCAATTGTATTCAATCTTGAAGTTGAGGGAACATTTTTCAATTATACACTGATTGAAATTATCATTTTCTGTGGAATAAAGTGAGGAAACTTTCATGAATAATATTAGGAATGGAGCAATAATGATTTAAGATACTCTACTGAAGAATTCAAACTCGAAAAATATCGCAATAGCCAATAAACTTTCGAAAAAAATAGATGGAAACTTCAATATAAACAAACATTCAATAAACTTTCCATTAGTTACTTGAATATCCGCAAGAGGGCGTATCGCTCATTTTGAATCGCCTATACTACATTTAAAAAAATAAGAAGATAGTAGGTGACGCTGCCTGTGAAGGAATTTTTATACTGACGAAATAAATGAATGGCGCCTAATTGAAAATCATGACATCTCTAATGATTGATTGCCATTTTAGAATTTCGTCTCAAGATTTGTTGTAACACAAAATGATACGAAAAATAAGTAAAATGTCATGTTGTGATCATGTTCCTATAAAGAAAACTTCAACTTCAATGTCACGTCATAAATCATAATAATAGACAGGTGCCCTATTGCCTTCAATATCAACTAATCAAAGAGAAGGTCAATGCTTCCCTATAATTTTTAATCCTGTCTTCTTAGTTGGGATCAGGAGCGTAATTTCAGTATATGTCAAAGGGGGGCTGGGGATCCAGAGTAATTCACGATGAAAAATGCGCCGCAGGCGAAATTTTTTACCGATTGACAACGCTTCGTCACATGATTATGATAAATATTATTCAGTTTCATTTTCTCAGTTTCTTTCAATTGTTAAAAAATGATCTGAAAATACGAACAATGAGAAGTATTCTAAATAATGTCTGTAGATTAACCGAGTAGGTGGATGTTCATTTCTCGAGATTTTTTGAGATTTTCTATCTCCTTTCTTTGAATCTATACACTTAGTAATCTGAGATTATCTGTGTAATATTTCTTGAACACAGTGATATTTTTAGATAATCTACCTGATTTGTCCTCACTACAAATACATTGAAATGATACTCAAAATGTTATATAAATAAATGAAAATCATAGTAATTTTTTTGAAAAAAATTGTTATTTCACTAATTAAAACAACATTTATATAAACATTAGAACTAGTAAGAAAACCAAACGTTAACTTCATATTACAAAATGAAAAACAACAAATCATACTCAGTTTGATCATGATTTTCAACATAAAAGTCGACTTTTCTCGACAACGGTCAACTTTTGAGCTTATGACAAAGAGTATCTTTTTTGTATAGAAAACATTGGCGGTTCAAATGGGTGGCTCAAAAATGGACTTTTTCCAGTGGCGTAGAAGTTGGGAAAGAAATCACCACTACCCCTTCAAAATCTTCAACAATAATGACTTGAAAAAATATATTCCGCACTGAACATAGCTCATTATGAGTAGAAAATGCTCACAAAATCTGTTTTCTCTGCGATAAACGGTTCCAGATATTCGCATAAAACATTTTTTTTTCAAATTTCAACATCCTGTATCTCGAAAATAATGCATTTTAGAGGGTAAGTTGATTGAAACTTTTTTTCAATATTTTTGGACGATGTATGACCTCCTGAAGTCTTGCGCATATATTACGAAACACCCTGTATACAGAAAAATGTATGTATGTAATGCTTCCCTAGTTTTCAAAAACAGGCGGTAGATCTAAGGTAATCCGCAGAAATTTGTCATCATTGTTTTCTGCTGAAAACGATGTTTGAACGGGACAAAATGCAAACAATTTCGTCTCCCCTTTTTATATGTCTATAGTTGCGTTTTATTTATCCGATTCCGCCACCGGAATCACTTCAATGTGTCGTTTTATTTGCAACTCTTTGAAAGTAGAATACATTAGAAGACATTTTTATCGTGAGGTTCGCAAGTTTATGATTCTTTCAAGTAAGGCAAGCTTCATATCTTCATTCCCAGATGAAATGAATTCTCTATCCCTTGGGCCTCGACCTCAGAGAACTTTCTCTTATGACCACAATCACTGCTCTCTAGTTATGATTTTGATATTATTCGGAGCCCCAATATATAATCTCTATCATCTATAATAATTATGTCAATTATCTCTGAACATTCTCGTTTTATTTGTAAACGTCATTCTGTTCCCACCACCGATACCAGAATGGAACAAATAAAACGCAACTAATGTCTATGGTTGGAATGGACTGTACATAGATGTATAGAAAGTCAAATGGTGTTATCACTTCTTATTGAAAGGAGTTTCGAAATCTCTCGATATCGCCTACTTTGTGAAACTAGCGAGGCGTGGGAGAATCTTGCTAAATTTCCGAAGTTTCAAACCAAATTTACAGGCATCATGACAGATTCATTTGAGTTTACATTTTCATTTTCACAATTTTTTGTTCAAATGGAAACGGTGCGTCATATCTTCGACTTTAAATGGTGAATTCATGAACGACACAAAATCCTAACTCAAAAAAAACTTGTGATAATAATTTATTTACTCACTTTTGGAACATGATATTAAACGAATGTACGGATTTTCAAATAATCCTCACATATTGCAACAGTCAGTCCATGATAGAAGCACAATACACTCACTCAACTAATATTATAATATCATTATCTGCTTAATAAACTACTAATGCTCTCAATTCATAATATTTCTATTCGAAATTGAAACAAAATCTTGAATATGCCGAAAACATGACACTAGTGATAGACATGTCACGATCACGATCCGCATTCCAAGTCCCGAAAGAAGAAAAACACATCGTTGAAAGTCTAGTTCAACGACATAATAGGATTCCAAACGCATCAAAACATCATCGAATATGACAGCCCCATGTTTCGAACTCGCATTCAATTGTCCATATCGAGAGCTAGTCTGACGAAACAATTGAAGAGTGGGCACACCAGAGCTGCGTTTCAAAAATGTGTCCAACGTCCGACAAAGGGTTAAAAGATGACGTCAGGAGTATTCAGCAGGATCACGTCGTGTATGCAAGAGGAGAGAGTATTATGTCTAAAACCTATATTTCTTTAGAGCAGAAGTTTTGATATTTTATTTTTCATTGAAATGGAGCAATAATGGAGATAGTTATATTTGGGTCCTGCGGTTTCCTCTTTCATTGATTTTTTCACGATGACAGTAGTTTTGCTTCCTCGGACGAGAAAAAAATAATGATATACAAAAGAGTGCCAGAAGGATTTTTCAAAAATTCCAAATTATTTCGAAAACATAATTCCAGGAAACCAATTTCAGTCCCATTTTTCTATGACTAGAACTTTCTTCGATCGACCAATGGAAGTGGTAGGATCCAAAAACAATACAAAAGAGGAAGATAATGAATTAATGCTGAGAAACAAGTATTATCCGTTATTTGGTTACAGCTAGGTACAATATTAATGTGACTTGATCAGCGAATTACATTTTTAATTATGAGAAGGAAAACTTCTTTATTATATTCTATTGATTATTTATTTATGATTATTCCAAAATCGAAATGGAGAACTTCACAATTTTTTACTGTGTTCACTCACTGGTTTTTGTTATGAAATCCTAAACGCTAACCTCAATCCGCAAAGCTTACAAAACCAAAACGCACAGAATGCTCGTCCGGCTTGCCAAACGTAGATTGGGTAAAATTACCTACCTTTCGGAGCAGGATGAATAGTTGGAAGTCGGATGTTCTTTCTATGGAAATTGAAACGATATTTGGCATCTGTCGAGTAACTTCAACTGTAAATTGGAACGACCTCTACTAAACGGTTGTAGGTCGGGTACAATTTTGAAACGCGCCTCAGAGGCATTATAAACATCTCAGACTGTACTCACTTATCGGCCTGAGCCGCTTGTCCGCCCCGAGACACGACAGATCGTCGAGGCTGCCGTCGCCGTCCGTCGACAGCATGTCGTCGTCGGAGGTGGCATGGGTGAGGGTGGGCAGCGTCGACGTCAGGTGCTCCTTCTCCTTCTGGATCTCCTGGATGTGGTCCTCGAGGATGTGCTCCTCATCGTCGGTGGCCTGCTGCTGAGACGGCTGGAATATTAGTCAAGCGATCAGCTTTATTCAAGATAATTTCACTCATTATTTCATCGATAAAACAATAATTTCCTGTCATATTTTCATTTGCATTTATGCAACTAACGATACGTGACGATAAATCGACTGCTATTTAGTAGTTGACAAGGAACTACACAGGAAGCACCAAATATTGTCTCCTCTCGCCAGTGGCCGCAATCGCATGCAATATTTGATGCGTTCTCTCTCTAGACGCTGATGTGAAGTTGTGAGAGGTTAGGTTGATTGTTGTTTAGGAATGCCGAACATACAAAAGTTGGAATAAAATTCTTCGATATAAATTTAAATTCAGTGTCTATCACCATTTTGTCTGAAGTGTTTAGTGTTGAGTAGTATTCATCCCGGAATATAAAAATATTATGACATCCATATGTTCATGACAGAGTGCTGCATGTTAGTCATTTTGTTTTATACATGTCGTATCCAGTAGCCAATCAACAGCCGAAATACAAAAACGAAAACATCATGTTTTCGATTATCAAGACAGAATTTCAACCAATCAAAAACGTGTACTCTGAAATGAGTGGGATAATCACTGAAACAGACCCATTTAATAGTTTTGACGATTGCACGAAAAATAGTGTGTATACGATAGCCGCGAAACTTTGGCGATCTCAAGATCATCAATTTTTCTTTCGGCACGCCAAAAAGGTATTTCGCGACCTAGGTATACAAATACCCATTTTCTACAGCTATAACACAAAATTGCTCATGTTTTACTGTGTTCGATAAATTATTGAGGTACTTTGTATGCCATCGACTTTATTTCCGTGTCTGATATTGTCACGAGTAGAACATACGGTATATTAGTAATTTCGAACCATGAGGATTTTATAAACATAAAGTTAATCGAATCACCCGTTGACATTGAACTATGAAAACTGACCAAGGAACTCTCATGAGAAACGTGCAAATCTAATAAAATGATATGTATAAATATCGGATGTGAGGGTTCCGAAGTTAGTCTGGTCTGGGGCTACTCTTGACTTGACAAAAACTCGTCATAATGGTAATTATAATGTAAGTTGTTATTCGGTCTTTATATTCATTGTGGTTTATTCATATTTGTCATTCGCTACCCATAATGTTTCATGCTTCAATAGATATCGTTATGTTTGAATATAGTCTCATACTTCCAGCTACCCCTAAACTATTAGTGCCCATTTAGATATTACCTCTTGTAAGCCAAGCAAACCCCTAATACATCGATATGGATGAATTAACCATCTATTATATCGTGACAATATCACAATGACTTCATTGTGTTACAAAATCTCATCTTCTATGAAATGTCAAATTTCAGATGGCTACAAGCCGAAAAAATCAAACATTTCGCTGTTATCTGTTACAGCCGTAGAAAAAATATAGTGTATAACTCGTACGGAATGCTAATGTCCCACTCGTATGATAGGTGAATGCTGCAAATTTCATTCTCGTGGGAAATTACTATTCCGTGCTCGGTAAACAACATACTATTGTTTACCTGGTTGCTGGAAGGCAGCAGCTCGTCGGGCGTGAACACTTTGGAACTCCGCAGGTTGGAGAGGCGGTTGGTGGCCGCCTGGCACGCCGTGTCCAGCGTGTCGATGTCGTCGAGCGTGCTGCGGATCTTCCTTAGCTGGACGCGGATGATGGTTTCTATGCATTGGGTTTGGCTGCCTGAAACATGGGAGTCAGTATTTAGCTGCGTTTTACCACTCACTTCTGGCATGGGAGTCATGACCCCCCCCCCTATGGCCCTGGTGAACCGGTGATTTTTTTTGTCAACTTTCTGCTCAATTTACTAAACAAATGTATTATAAATGGACGGTGGTCATACTGATACAGGACACGTCGCACACGCGAATACAAAGCTCGAATTACAGAAAACAGAATGGTTTGGGAACTCACATTGAAATGATCCCACAACAATACAGGTTCAAGCATATGTGACAATATTTTGGAAAAATAGATCACCTCGCACTAATTCCACAATAAAAATTTCAGGAAATTTAATGAATCAGTGAAGTGCACAGGGTATTTCAGATTATAATCGGGAAAATTTGGTAGGCGATAGTAAATTTGTATGATTTGAAGCTTAGTTTTCGAGATACAGGGAGTTGACGTCACAAATATTTTTTACCTTTTTTGTTCCATAATGTCAAAAGTCTATGACTATCAAGTGATCTTAATGAATATCTTGAATGAAATAGAATTTGGATTCATATCACGTATTTTTTTCTTGAAAACCGAGTAAGATACTGAATTTTTTCCATGAATATCAATCAGATAACCCTCTAGGGCGCCACTGAAATAATTACGGCGAATCTAGTAATGCGAAGTGAAACATTTTATATCACAAAAAAAACCTATAAAGTCTCACGACAATCAGTTAGCGAGTTATTGAGCTGTGAATAAACAATTTTTTTCTTCAAAAAACTTCAACACATTCTTCAAAACGAAGCTCCAAAACATATAAGTTTACATGGAACTATCATCTTCTGCGATATAAGGACCAATCAGAATGATTTGCTTTCAGAGTACGCTCCTCCGTCCTTTCCAGCCGATAAGATCACGTCGTCACGGCAACCACGAATCTAAATTGAATAACATCTTGTTCCCTGGTACGTCTCAAAATAAATAAAAAAATATGTTTGTCTCATTTTTATTGCAGGATCACTTTGTGAGAATATCTACTATTCCCGCAAATATTCTTTAATAAGAGTATGGTTCTAGATCCACTTTAATATTGATTGTATTGAATTTCTTAAATTTGCCTCTACATGCTTCTTTGTAGTTGAGGCGTAGTAAAATCCTGATGGCTTTTTTTGTACCTTTAAAATACCCTCTGATATGACATCAAGATGACAGTATCATATAGAACTCATATCTGTCTTGAACTCGGGATCAAATTGCTTCAAGGTAACACCACTCTTCCTGCGGACTCGTTTATGAAAATTCACTGAACACATATTCCTTGTTTTTTTTTTCGTATGATCAAATAGGAGTTCAAAAAAAATCGTGAAGATATAGTTTGGGTTCCTCCACCATTTTCATGACATACTACTTAAAAAAAGCTATGTACGAACAACTAAGATTTGTATGGGTGGAATTTGAATAATTTCAAATTATATACTGTGTTACTAGGTATTTTTAACGAATCAAACACTTAGAGCTTTAACAATTTATTCACTTTGACCGAATCGTTACTCTGCACAGTGAGTACTGATTTTAATCATCCCGTCCAGGAATGCGTGACTGCAAAAATGAATCACCGCATATCATTGTATAACATTCCATCAAGTTACAAGTTACTTTCAGCAAGGAAGCTTTTTAAAAAACGAAAAATCTTTCACAGGGTCTTTATTTACTTGCGAACAAGACAAACAACAGGCAAAGACTGAATTCAAATATATGAAATGCTACAGAACGTAAACTCATTTATGATGAGTTTGCAAAGATTACAGTTTCGTCGAAATAAGCTGGAAAGTGTCTGTAACTCCTCCGGCGCTAGTTGAGAACTATGGGGTTGGACCAGAGTTCGATGAAAATCTGACGTCGGGGGTTGATTTTGTTTCTTGAATCCTCAGCACCTCGTTCAGGGTTGAATTTCTTGAGAGCATCTTCTTCATGTAGAGACGGCGTAGTATGTAGACTATACCAATACCAATTAATATATACAAAAATATCGTATATACACTAATTTTGTTGTAATGGAACGTCGAATTGTCGATGTTGGTTAGCTGTTGTTTTTGGTCCTCCAAAATGTTGTAGATGCCGTCCATGTCGTCTAGATTGATGTGTTCTAACTGCAATGGCTGAAAACTAATTTCGGTTTCAACATTAGTGTCCGGAAATGTCTGTATATTAGGCAGTTCGATATTTTTATAACTGGGTTCACTATTTTCGAATGTCTTTAAAACAATGTCCTTAATATAAACTTCACAGAGATTGTTGAGCTCTATGATATAAGTCCCATTAAGAGGAATATTGTCTTTATTTTTACCGCACTTTTGGGTAGCCACTATGTTTTCGGGGGTTATAACAATCCATTGATTTTTCTCTAATTCCTGAATTTTCGGTTTCTTGATTTCGGCTGGTATCTGTCTGCAGCTTGTGTTCGTTGAATATTTGAGTAGTTGGATCTCACAAGGAATACTGTCTTCGATCTTCGTTGTTTGTACATCTTGACACAGGAATTCTTCGGGGGTGACTTCTTGGCATTTAACATCCGAAAAGGCGTAGTTGTGCTCATTCAATAAAAGGAATTTCGAGTGGGGTATTATAGTTTTGAAGGAATTAACTGTAGGAGTTGGCAATGGATATAAATGATAGTAACTATAATCATCTGCTTCTACGATTGGAATTTCTATGATGAAAATGATTTCGTTTCTTTTACTGTAGCTTTTAATTTGCATTGTTTTTTCGAATAAAAGTAGGTTTTTAACTAATGGTTCAAAAGGAAATCTATTTTGCTTCAAGTGTTTACTGATTGCAGTAATTTCGGCAAATAATTCGATTGGTTCGATGATTGAATTATGAAACGTGTTTAATTTTGCAAAAGTGATTGCTATTTCGATTTTTTCCAGTATATCATACATAATTTGGAAGGTATTTATGAACTGTGAAATGATTGTTTGTAACAGAAAATAATGATAATTTTGAACATTATCGATGTGGATGGTTTTGATGATTTCTTGCAATTCCTTTACTCGAGAATTCATTACTTCTTGATTGTGAGCAAGAATTTCGGTATCGTTTTTGAATTTTTGAATGGATGTTTGCAGTAGAGTGATTTGATTACCAATCAATGATTTCAATTTATTTTGATTATCAGATAGTGATGAAATGGCTTTGTCATATTTTTCAGCATCGCTACTGTCGAGATTTCCTGTGATTGCTTTAAGAACTGAACCGAGTCCATCTATAAGAGCTCGTCTCGTTTTCATTTTCCACTGTGGATTCAGTTGACTTATTTGTGTAAGAATTTTATTCTCCAATATACTCAGAACATGATGGGAATTATGGAATTCTTTGTCGTAACCAGGTCCATGTGTAGAGTTTTCGAATGCGTTTTTTATTCGTGAATAAGTACTTCGTAGAGTCATGAATTCGTCAATTATATTTGAAATGTCATAAATTTGTATAAACGTCCAAGAGTCAATTTTGTTTTGTGTGTTGCCAAGTTTCAATGTAAGGATTCCAGGATTTATGTTAAGGTTATGGATTTTGACGGGTTCTAGTCTTCCGTAGATGATACAGAAGGTGGATCTGCAACAACAGAAGGTTTTTTCAATTCTTTTATGTGGATGATTTCTTGTTTGTTAGGGTGATACTTATTTCTTATTTCTACACGGTTCCTATCTAGCATTTTCGTTATTTCATATGGGCCTATGAACTTTTTATCTTTTTTATTGCGTGATTTCGAATTCTTTTTATATACTGTTTGACCTAAACGAAATTCAGAGCTTGTGTCACCTTGTGTATTGTTTTTCGAAACTATTTTGCGCTTCTTATCTTCTAATTTATCTTTTACTACTTGATATACGTGTTTCAGTTTTTCTTTGTGTTTCTCAGCATATTCAGTATAAAATAGATTGGGAATAAAAATTTCGTTTGGATTTCTCGAATCTGTATGACCGAAAGTGAATTCGAAAGGCGAGTACTCGGTGGAACTATGAATAGAACTATTGTAGCCTAGTATAGCGTAATCCATAAGGTCGTTGCTTTCGTCCGGGTACATTTCTTGCAGAATTCGCAAATGTTCTATGATTGTCGAGTGAAAACGTTCAACTGGAGAGTTTGATTCATGATGCGTGGGTGTAGTAAAATGCACGTTGATTTTATGTAATTTGAGAATTTCTTTTACGGTTTCATTATTAAATTCCGTTCCATTGTCAACTATGAATGTCTGAGGTACGCCAAATGATGTGAAATATTTTAGCAGAGCTTTACTAATGTGGATAGCTGTTTTTCCGGGAATGAATATTGCTTGGGCCAGTTTCGTGAATGCGTCGACTAATGTCAAGTAATTTTTTCCATCAAAGATAAAAACGTCGATATGAACAATTTGGAATGGTCGAGAAGCTGTTTCAGTTAGCATTAGCGGTACATAAGGGGTTTTTCTTGCGTATTTGGATCTTTGACAAATTTCACAAGAATTAATAAAATTCGTTATAGTTTGTTTCATATTCTTCCAGTAATAGTTTTTCTTCAAGCGTTCGAGTGTTTCGTTTATTCCGCGATGATTTGTCTTTCCCTCATGATGATTTTTTATCAACATGAGTTGTTCTTCCTTGTCGCAAATGGTGTTCAGTCTTTTCAAACATCTGATTAATTTTGGGCCTCTTTCTGAGAAATGTTTCAAGTATACCTTACAGAAATCTTTATACAGGTTTTCGGAGTGGAAATATAGTGAATACGCATTCTTAGATTCGGTGTTTTCTATCAGGAATTGTAAAATTAACTTTTCGTTATCGACTTCAGGGACTTTAACAGTAATAATTTTGTATTTTTCGTAATTTTCACGTTTAATGTCTAATTTATGGTACGTATTTGGAAACACTAAAATTTGGTTTAATTTGTTATTGATTATTTCGTCATAGATTTTTATTCCGTCGTTCGTAGTTTCGTTTGCGTCAGAATGTTGTGTCGAAACATTATCTGGAATATTTTGATCA